GCATCACTTGCATGTATCGTTATAACTGTCACACAATTTAATTATCCATTTTTGATGACATACATGTATACGTACAAATGTTATTATTATTCATTTTAGGAGGTTTTATCTGCCATTCATAATCAATTAAAAGGGATTTATGATATCGACCCTTCGATCTACCCTTCCCTCAAGGTCCATAACAATGCTAGTATATCTAATATATAATGTGAACCGTTTATTATTTCATGAACAAAAACTATTGATTGTATGTGAACAACTAATACATGTATGCACACTGTGTATTGTATGTTAACTCTATGTATTGTAATTGTGTGTGTTTTTATTGTCATTAGGTTGTTAACGTACGAGACAATCAGCTACGAGACAGTAGCATCCCACCAGACCTCTTCAACCTTACTGAGCTAGTCACACTGGTCTGTATATTTATCCATTATTATTATTATTATTATGATCTCTCTCTCTCTCTCTCTCTCTCTCTCTCTCTCTCTTCTGTAGGATCTAAGTTACAATTCTCTCACAAAGGTACCAGATAAGTTAAAGGAGGTGAAAGAGCTCGGCCTCATCGTATTGAATCTCAGTAATAACAAACTGACCAGTGTTCCCGGGCAGGTATGGCATTCATCGCATGACTGTCAAATGACTTTATAATCATTTTATGTTACAGTTATTTGTTCATTGTTCGTGTCTACGTCATCTTGATCTGAGCCATAATGAAATACGTAATTAATAATAAATTAATTTTTTTTATTTTTTATTAATTATTATATAGAATCACTTCCTCCACAGATAAGAAGGTTGGATCAACTGACATCACTGGTCAGTATGAATTTTATTATTATTATTATTATTTTGAAAATAAAACTTTGAATTTATTTTTATGCATAACACTTATACTTATCCCCTACTTTTAATAGATTGTTGGTAACAATCCAATGCAACATTTCATGTTCAAGTAAGATGATGATGATAATAATAAATCATTGTTATTATTAATATTTAAGGGGACTAAAAGTAGTACAGGGTATTTCCTCAAAAATGGCTAGGAGAGAATTCTCCATTTTTATAATTTTTTCTGATATACATACATGTACTTATGTTGCGTAGAAATTTTGAGCTGATTCTGATCAAGATTGGATTTTTTATGAATTTTTAAAAGTTGCTCCAAAATCGGGCCAATGACCCTGTACTATAGTACAGGGATTTTGGCCAAATTTTGTCAAAAATGAAAAGGAGAGAATTCTCTGTTTTATAATGTTTTCTGATACATATACATGTTCTTATGTTGCCTAGAAAGTTTGAGCTGATTCCGATCAAAATTGGATTTTTTATGAATTTTTAAAAGTTGCTCCAAAATTGGGCCAGCGACCCTGTACTATAGTACAGGGATTTTGGCCAAATTTTGTCAAAAATGAAAAGGAGAGAATTCTCCGTTTTTATAATGTTATCTGATACATATACATGTTCTTATGTTGCGTAGAAAGTTTGAGCTGGTTCCGATCAAGATTGGATATTTTACGAATTTTTAAAAGTTGCTTGATTCATTTGTAACTGAATTCCAACCCCCCTCTCTCTCTCTACTTTTCCTTCTCTTTATTCTTAGGACAATGGACAAACTAGTTAATTTAACTATGCTCGATTTATCAAACTGTGGGGTGAGAGAAACATACGTTTACATGCACACGTACTTAAAATAAATAATGTATATACTTATTCATTTATTCATTATTTATTTATTTATTTTAGAGGGATTTGGATAACACCCCCCACCTGGACAAGCTTGTCAATCTCACCGATATCAACATGTCCGGAAATAACTTGCCTAGAAGTGAGCAACCAGGCACCAATCATTAATAATTCTTAAAAGACTTATTCTGAGATAAACTTGATACAAAATGTATATTTTGCTTTCCAGAATTTGAAGTCACCTTTTAGAAAGTAAAATCTACCCGTATAAATAGATTCAACATATTCTATATAGCGGGAAATTTGGGAGGGGATTAAACTTTGGCAAATTTGGTGTTTTGATAGCCATTTGTCAAAATAAGACTCCGCCATTTTGAGTCATTATATGCATGCTCAATGGCACGTGGCCACAAATTTGCCAAATTAAAATTTAGCAATTCGCCAAGTTTTAGTCCCTCCAAAATTTCCCGCTATACGGTAGTATTTTCAGGATTTATCTTTATGCATACCCTCACTAGTACACTTAGAAATTGATGCCTATAGCTGCATGTTATAATATTATTACCGTCTATCTGGAAATTTTTACTGTGATTTTAATTTTACTGCATTAGAATTTCGCAAAAATTAGATTACCCATATAATTACATGGCACATTCAATAATACATAACACAGTCTTATTTAGTAAAAATTAAGTCACAGCACAATTTTAAAACACAAAAATTTTGTTCCACACTAATTTCCTGATCTACGGTATTATATTTCCACATGGTTATAGTTCCCGAGTCCATTTACCTCCTGGACAGATTATCCCGTATCAATTTCAGTCACAACCAGATAAGAGAACTATCATCGCTCGTCGGTATGTTAATTGACACTAAATACATGTACATGTAGATATCTTATTTTATTTACTATTTTTTTTATCAATCATACATTCACCTACATGTACTGATTAATATTTATTATTATTATTATTATTATTATTATTATTATTATTATTATTATTATTTTATTCAGATACTTGGTTGGAGTTGGTTACTCTTGATTTAACAGATAACCTCTTAACATCGTTACATGTAAGAAATACATAATATCTTTATATCTATCTCTGTTCTCATGTCATATTATAATTATTATTATTGTTGTTTTAATTTCATTACTGTAGCCTCACATATGCAAGTGTACTAAGTTAAAGAGGTTATTCATCAGCGGTAAGTTGTGTCTTCTATATGTGAGAGAAAGCATCTTTGAAGAAGGATCGCGATACATTTATTATTATTATTATTATTGTTATTATTATTATTATTATTTTTGTGCTTATATAGACAACAAGATAACATTCGGAGGGATACCAGCTGGAATAAACAAACTAGCGACTCTGGTAATTGATTGTTTAACCTTCCTTTGTCTTTCTATTCTACTCTCTCTCTCTCCCCCTCTCTCCCCCCTCTCTCTCTCCTCTCTCTCTCCCCTCTCTCTCCTCTCTCTCTCCTCTCTCTCTCCTCTCTCTCTTCCCCCTCTCTCTCCTCTCTCTCTCCCCCCTCTCTCTCCTCTTCTATTTTCTTTCTCTATTTAGACTCATTTTGTTGCTGCTCGTAATCAAATGGAGTGCATACCCGAAGGATTGTGTCGCTGCTACACGCTCAAGAGTCTCATACTGAACTCTAATGTGCTCGTGACCCTCCCTGAGGCCATCCATTATCTTAAACTGGAGGTTGGTATCAGAGTATGGGAATGAAATTTTGAGAATGAGAATTGGAAATTTGAGAATTTGAAATTATGAGAATGAGAATTTGAAATTTTGAGAATGAGAATTTGAAATTTTGAGAATGAGAGTTTTGAGAGACAGGACTGAGAATAAGATTTTAAATAATGTGTTGCTGTATTATAGATATATGTATCTCAATTTCACTGTAGACTCTTGATGTGAGCGATAATCCTAAGCTAGTGTTTCCTCCTAAACCTGTGGCTCAGACTATTGGAGCCGGTGCTGAGTTTTATAATATTGACTTTGATACCAAACTCCTGAGACAGGGGGCCGTCCAGGCATCAGGGAAACCTACTAAAAGTGATTATTATATAATCATTTTTAAAATAATAATTTTATGTTTTTTTTAATTTTAATTTTAGCCTCTTACACAAAGCAAAAGGTAAGTATTTTTAAAAGAGATGTCTGATCCTGGTCATTAATTATTTTTAATATTATGTAATTTTCTTTTTTTTTGGTGGGCATTAATTAGGAACGTTTTATGAAGCTCCAGAAGAACAGACGGAGTTCAGTCACAACAAAAGGAGGAGAGGCAGCAGCTGCTAAAGTTTTAAAAGTAAAGTAATAATAGAAAATAATGTTATTTAAAATCACATTACATGTACATTATGACAATGGGTATTGCATTTATTATTATTATTATTATTTATTTATTTATTTATTTTTAGGGTCTAGTTGATATTGCTGATTATAAGCAGCAGCAGCAGCAAACGGATGTGGTATGTTAATGTATTTTAACTCGAATAAAATGATATTTTTATTTTGTCCTTTTCTTTATTTACTAGATGAGCGCTGGAGCTGCCGTTGCTACAGTAGAAGAGGAACAAGTTCACTCACCGAGAAAGTAAAAGAAAAGAAGAGAGAGGGAGAGAGAGAAGCATTCTCATTGTATTTTTCTCTTGTTTTAGGCCAAAGAGATGGGATGAGATATTGGTAAGACCTGATTTGGACTACAGCACTATCTTTATGGAGGAGATTGGCTCACTCCCTGGACTCACAGTCTGGCAAATTGATAACTTTTATCCTGTCCTGGTTGATGAAGGTCAGCTAATCGTGGATCATTCTTGTGTATATGATGGAAATAAAATGAAGTAAAATTGCCTCTATTTTTTAATGCAAAAAGTTTGAGTCATTTTCTTCATTTTTAGATTTAAAAAATTGTGTGTTTATGTTTTTGCTACAATAATTTTAGTGATAAATTCTGAGCATAGCCAATATTTTTTTTTTGCCAAAAAAGCAGCCACAAAATTTTCTTAATGTTATTATTAAAAGAGGTCCAATTAAATGTGTCACGTTTCTCTCTTTTTAGCTTTTTATGGTCATTTCTATATGGGAGACGCTTACATCATACTTGACGTAAGTACAATATGTTTATTATTATTATTATTATTATTATTATTATTATTATTATTATTATTATTATTATTATTATTATTATTATTATTATTATTATTATTATTATTAATTAATTAATTATTTATGTACTTTTATATTATTACCTACTTAATGAAGATAATATAAGTAATGATGATGTACTAGTACTTAGATCTATATCTTTATTATTATTATTATTATTATTATTATTATTATTATTATTATTATTATTATTATTATTATTATTATTATTATTATTATTATTATTATTATTATTATTATTATTATTATTATTATTATTATTATTATTAATTATTATTATTATTAATTAATTAATTATTTATGTACTTTTATATTATTACCTACTTAATGAAGATAATATAAGTAATGATGATGTACTAGTACTTAGATCTATATCTTTATTATTATTATTATTATTATTATTATTATTATTATTATTATTATTATTATTATTATTATTATTATAAAAATACCACACAAGGAGAGAGCAAGTTAAAATGGATATATATAATATATATATGTAGGAGGAGGGAAAGTCAGAAAAAGATATATAGAAATATTTCAAATATTTAAAATTAGTACATATAGTTAAGAGTTATCCCAGCTCCATCCTCCGTGTTGATAGAACAAATTTTAGACCTGGTACCCCTGATACACAAATTGATGGCACGTAATAGAGCAAAGGATAGACGGGTACGAAGCCAGCAGATGACAGTACTGTAGGGTTGATCCCATTTAATGGATAGTTTGTCAGCCAAACGTTTCAAGAAGGAATTAGATTCTGGACCCAACAGACCATCTACTGTATTATTATTATTATTATTATTATTATTATTATTATTATTATTATTATTATTATTATTATTATTATTATTATTATTATTAGACGTATTTCAATGACGCGTCTGAGCTTGAATGGAAGATATATTTCTGGATAGGAAGAGATTCATCGGTAAGGAAAAAATTACTCAAAAAAATTAAATAAATAAGAGACAATACCACTCATATTCATGTACCATATCATACAAGGCCATTTATTGATTAAGAGATGAACAATCGGTGGAATTTATATTGGTAATTTCTCACTGTAAATTGCTAATATTAATTCTTTTATTACTTCAATATTTCAATATGATGTGTGTGTGTGTGTGTGTGTGTGGGATGTGTGGAATTCATGCAATCATACTTACTCCTACGTTGAGTCCAGTGTTACTATCATTATAATCTAACCCGTTACTATAAATAAGCATGCTATTAATAGCGTCTGACCTTCTTCCTGTTACTATAATTAGATGTGACTCATTCCAATGTGGCTACTGGCAATTTGCAGTAGTTTGTATTTGAACAAGAACCTTGTATATGTTGTATCTCTACACTCATTAATATTTCACACAAAACCAATTCATAGTTGTTTGTACTTGAACAAGAGTTGTGTGTATGTATTTGTACATGCATTAAGGTGGCTGCTTGTGAAGGAATCTTTATTGTGAAGAACAGTATGTATATGTACATGTACAATATAAATATGTACATGTGCATATACAAGTACATGTACATGTACATGTACTTGTACATATACATGTAGTAAAGGTTTTTGTGTTTCACTAAAATTTCACTGTACATGTATTTCCCCCAGAATAAAGAAATGATGTTAACATGATTCTTACTCAAGGTTTAGCTTGATCTTTAACTCGATTTTAACATGATTCTAACACGATTCTTAATGCAATTCTCTCTTGTACTCTAGATTGATAAGAAGGCGTGTGCTGCCATGCATGCTGTTCACCTTCGCAACAAGTTGAGCGCTAAGGGAAGGACAAGGAGAGAGGAGCAGGAGGACGAATCCGATGAATTCCTTGAACTTTTTGATTCAAACATCAACTACATTGAAGGTAGACCAACCCAGTAAAAACAAAAAATATTTTAAGTTTAATCTAATTGCAAAAAAAACAAAAAACGTACATACATGTACATTGTAGCTCTAGTAATTTTTTTTGAGTGGGGGCGTTAAGTTTTTACATTTTTTAGTGATGGGTGAGTTTTAATTTGACAAATTTGTGGCCATATATGTCTCACTTGGCATGTCCATAATAGTTCAAAATTTTGGCTTTTGTTTCAGCAAAGGATTATTATATCAAATTGCAAAGTTACTGGCATTAGCCGGAGTTTCTCCGCTCCAAAAAATTCGAGTTACATATACAAGTATTGTGGCATCTTTTAAGTATATGGGGGCTATTAGTATTTGACATGTATGAAAAGGTAGTTTTTGCATGTACATGTATGGTAGGCAATGATTGGAGCTTATTTTCAGCTCTTATTCTTTCATTAACTGCAAACTAGTCCTTTTAGCTCTGAATGAGTCCATCCATTAGTGGACATTAAAGCATCACTATTGGGTTTATTTTGCAGTTGGGATGTACGAAAGCAATTGAGCCTAACATTATCACCAGCCCTGCGTTCATTTAGTTGTGTATGAGCTTTTAATGTATTGTTTATAGCACTCCTTTTCACTTTATTATTGTGTTATAGGTGGAACGATCAGTGGGTTTTATACTGTCGATGATATAGTAAGTGAATGACATGCACAACAGTATACGTAGTACTCTATCCAGTGTATGCGTGTACATGTTTACAGTCAAACCTCTCTAAAACGAACCCCCAATTAGCGGACACCTCTCTATAACGTATAGTTGCTCTTGTCCCGGCCATAAGGCCATTGTAAATAGTAATAGTAATATACAATGTACATACATGTAGACCTATTTAGGTCCAATTGGCCTCACTCTCTTTTCTCATTTTTAGGACAACACTGTTGCTTTGTATAAGCTCTGTGGCGAGCATAATGGAACTAAACTTCATGTTGAAGCTGTGAGTTCATTGATTCAATTGCTACTTTGTACATACATGTACATGTACATATACATGTCTTTATTTTATTACATGTACATGTACATGTATTTTCAAATTTTATTTGCGTTTTGTAATTTATTAAGTGAATGCATTTTCACTTCTCTCTCTCTCTCTCTCTTTCTCCTTCTTTCCTAAGGTTGCAATGAAGAGTGATTCTTTAGATCATAATCACGTGTTTTTCCTTGAAGTTGGTAAGAAGTTTATTATGATGTGGGAGGGAGGCAGATCAAAGCTATCAGAGAGAGCAAAGGCCCGTCTCATTGCTGAGAAAATAAATAAATTGGAGAAGAAGAATGCTGCCGTCATTGCCTCTTTCAAAGCTGTGAGCTAATCAACAAATTAACTTAATTACATGTAATTATTTATCATACATGTACATGTACATGTATGCGTAGGGCACTGAGCCAGAAGAATTCTGGGATGTTTTTGGAGGTTATCCTAACAAACCAATCAAAGTGAGTCAGTTATTTGAATTGATACAATAAATTTGTTTCTCCTCTCTCTCTCTCTCTCTCTCTCTCTCTCTCTCTCTCTCTCTCTCTCTCTCTCTCTCTCTATTTCTATATAGACTGTCTCATTAGCTGAGTGTTCAAAAAAAGCTAAACCAGTTTTATACAAAGCAGCAATGGGGCAGGGATACCTTGAACTACCACAAGGTACACACCATATTGAGCTGAATATAGATAACAGATCTTTACCTCTCTCTCTCTCTCTCAACCTCTCTCTCTCTCTCTCTCTCTCTCTCTCACACACCCTCTCTAGTTGAGTGTCCTAATGGGTTAGAGAAGAAGTTGTTGAAAGCTCATGAAGTCTACATACTAGACTGTCACTCTGAGATCTTTGTTTGGTAATTCACATGCACCATTACTAATCGTAAAGACACACAAACACTATAATACATTATACTTCACAAGTTTGCAATTATTATTATATTATTTTTAATGTACATACACACGTACATATACATGTATATCCTACATAATCATAGGATTGGTCAAAAGTCTTCACGTCTAGTGCGAGCGGCTGCCCTCAGGTTAGCCGATGAGCTCCTTCAAATGGTGTCACGTCCTTCTGTTGCTTCAGTCTGTCGTGTCTTGGAAGGGTAAGCCCCTCTCATTAAATACAGTCCTTGCACATGTACCTTTATGTAGTGTTGAGTCAATGAAGTTTAGACTTTGGTTCAATGACTGGGACGACATTATAACTGTTGATTATACTGTGTCAGCTAAAGCATTGGAGAAAAGGAAAAAAGATATCGTTAGTTTATGAATCTTTTTCTGTGTGCACATGTACATGTACATGTATGTTGTGTATTAAATTTGAGCTAATTCCAATCAAGATTGGATTTTCAAATTTGCTTTGAAAGCCATGCAGTTACATATACTTGTGTGTCTCTTTTGCAGAATTTATTTGGCACTCCAGAGAAGAAAGCTGCTAAAGTGGATCTCTCTGCTTTGTTCCTTCCCCGTAATGTTCTCATGACCAACAGTGAATCTGAGGAACTCTCCTCCTACTACAACGGTCTACTCAAGACAATGCAGTGCTGTATCATTGAGCCTAGAAACAAATTCTCAATATTACCAAGAACTGAGAAAGGTATGTTGATATTGATTGGATTTGATATACATGTATGTGTATAATCATTATGAGTATCAATGCTCATTTTTAGTGTATGTAACACATGCAGCAATAACCATATGATTAGTGAAGGTTGTCAATTATCAGTTGTAATAATTAGTACTGGTATATTTTGTATGTGTTAGTACCTGTATTCTAGTGGTTTCTTTGGTTAATTAATTCCCACCAAAATCTCCCCTACTTTTGCTATTGGGTATGGTGTAAAATAGGCTCTCCCCATATTTGGCAAGCAAATCCACTCAGTGCTCACTAGCATCTAATTATCCGATATTCAGTTTAGAAATGAATGTACATGTACATGTACATATTCTTGTTTAGTGTAGACATTTTGAGCTAGTTTTGATCAAAATTGAAATTTTTAAGTTGCTCTAAAATTTAGCGACATGAAATGGAGCATTTAGCACCCATTTCATGTACCTAGCTGCTACACTATTTACTATATTATATTTCCTGCAGGTCACTTTTACAGTGGTGAATGTTATTTCTTTTTGTGTCAGTATGCTATTGAGTCTGATGGTAATATCTCATTTTAATGAATAATAATATAATACTAATCTCTTCCTCATAGCTGATGATAGTGAGGAAGATGAAGAATTACAAACTGTTGTCTATTTCTGGCAGGTAATATCAGTCTTAACCAGTCCTCCCTATATACCGTACTCCTTCTCCTTAGGGCCAGGATGCTACTAAGATGGGATGGCTACAGTTCACTCTTGGGTGAGTATTATCAATCACTCTCTAACTTTCTCCTCTTTTTAGGATTCGTAAACAGTTAGAGAAAGCCATGGGTTCCATTGAAGTTGTCTCTATGAAGCAGGTAATGGTTGACCATGTCAAGCAAGGCTTGTACTTTGGTTTTTTTTGGTGGTTGTAGCAACAAGAGAGCTTCCAGTTTTTGTCTCATTTCGGTGGAAAGTTCATCATACACAGGGTGTGTATGCCCTCCAATTAATGTTGTCTTATTTTTTCCTGGTTGTTTCCAACAGGGTAAAAGGAATAGTGGGGTCGATGTATACAAGCCAGCATTATATCAGATAAGAGCCAACAACAGTCGCCTCTCAAGAAGAGTTGTTCAAGTACATTAATAATTATTATTAATATTTCATGTATTTTATAAAACACAGGTCACAGCTGAGCCAAAATATCTCAACTCAAATTTCTGGTAATATTATCATTATTATTTTAATCATTGCTGGATTTGTTTGTTTTTTTCATGTACTCCAGTCATATCTTGAAGGTCCCTTTTGAAAACTCTCCTGGCACAGGGATAGTCTATATATGGATAGGAAGGTTTGTCTTTTAGTGTATGCATATTTTGTGTTGAACCTGTCTTCTTCTCTTTCTCTCTTAGCAAAACTACCACCGAGGAGTCAATACATGCTGAACAGATGGGTAGATCAATGTTTGAGGTGGGGCTTAGCTATTTTTGTTTTACCACAATGAACTCTGAAAGACTTTCTTTGCTATAATGAGTGGAGCTCCGAGGCAGCTGCTACTTTTATTAGCATTTTTGTCATTTTTGCTTATTTGCACATTTTGCAGTTCTTTCTGCCGTTCACTGGGCGCTCACTATAAAAACAGTATAGCCCTTTGGCACTGCTCAAGCAGCTGCTAGTAGTCACTAGTCAATGGGCTAGATTAGATAATGCTCTTTTTAAGAAAGTACTTATTGAGTTCAGTCTTTATTTTATGCCTTGTTTATCAAAAGCTCAAGCCTCAAGCTTGATATGCATGACAATTTTTGTGTTTTGTCAATATTCTGTATCACCTATTTATTTTTGTTTTGTATAGTCGACCTACTCAAATGTTGTCATCAGGGAAGGAGCTGAGCCTGAGAACTTCTTTTGGGTGGCATTAGGAGGACGTGGAGACTATAGCCAAGTATGAAAGGAATCTTTTACATGCATTATTTGAGCTAATCTGTCTCTCTACTCTTTCCTTGCTTTATGCTCTTCTCTCTCTCTCTCTCTCTCTCTCTCTCTCTCTCTCTCGTAGGAAGCTGATTACATGAAAAAGAAGAGATTGTTTCGATGCTCCAATGAAAAAGGCTTTTTCTTTGTTTCTGAGAAGACTCCCGATTTCTGTCAAGTCAGTAGACAATTTATTTCATAAATATAATCATACACTTCAGTTAGTACATTATTCATCAATATTAGTTTTTTAATCATTAAAATACACCTTTACACTTTAAGGTGTAACAAAAGCGTGCAAAACAAATTTGAGTGTCAAATTTTTTTTTATCAACAGGGTGATCTTTCGGATGAAGACGTGATGTTACTAGACAACGGAAACGAAGTCAGTAATAAATTTTGTTTTAATTTACCGTCTCTGTCTCTCCTTCTTTTGTCTTAGGTCTTTGTATGGTTTGGTGCCTCTTGCAGTGACATTGAGAAGAAGCTTGCAATGAAGAGTGCTCAGGTAAGGACTACACATCAACCAGCTCTCTCACTCACCTCCCTCCCTCCCTCTCTCTCTCTCTCCCTCTCTCCCTCTCTCTCTCTCTCCCTCTCTCCCTCTCTCCCTCCTGTCAAACACACAATGCATTAGCTATACATTAAGTTTCAAGCAGAAGAAGGCGAGAGTGAGGAAGTGGACGGAGAAGAGAAGAAGCCATCAAACAGAAAGTTTAAACTGGCCAAGAGAGGACTGGAGCCTTGGGAGTTCACTATTTGTTTCCACGGCTGGAGGCCAATCCCTTCATCATCTTAAAAACCTCTTGTACATGTACATGCTCTCTTCTTTGTTTTATTATCATCTGTACTTTCACTTACTCATTTTTTTCACTTGTGAGTGTATGTATGTACATGTACACGTGTATGTTCATAAAGTTGTTGTGTAGCTAGTATAGACTCTCTCATTGAAATGTCATTTTTAATTTAAAAAAAATTTTTTACTCAACACAACAAGACAATAATAATAATAATAATAATAATATTAATAATAATAATAATAATATTAATAATAATAATAATAATAATAATAATATTAGCTAATAATTTAAAGTTGATTTAAAAACAGTGTCATCATGAAAAAAAGAGAGTTTGTCATAGTTAATAATAATAATAATAATAGTGAAATTAATGAGTCCTGTACTGTTAAATAATGATAGAGGGGCTCAGACCAGTCCCTCCCCTCAGAGTGCTCTTTCTTCAAACCGTTCTCTTAGCTCAGGATTGTGTGCAATGAAATAATGATCAGGTAGCTCTACACTCTTTCTTGAGTCGGCACTGACGCTCTTACGGGATCTAGCACTGGCTCCACTCTCAACTGAGGTCTTGCTGTCAACAGGACCAAGATCATCAAATACATCCTGCGAGTCGGTGAGGAGACTCGCTGTGCTAACCGGGTTAGGAGTACTAGAGCTAGGGGGAGGAGGAGGAGGAGGAGAAGCATTCTGAGGTTTAGTATTAGTAATGGAACCCATTGCTGTAGCTATCATTGTGTTACTAATAGAGGAATTGGCACTATTAGGAGGAGGGGGTGGAGGAGGGCTGCTAACAGCTGGTGCTGCTGGAGGACTAGCAACTGCAACTGAAGAACTCTTGGAAGGACTCTTAGGACTTTTAGGACGTTTAGTAATTCCACTAGTCTATAAACAAGCACCAATAATAGTCATATTGAACACATATGTATACTGGCCCTCTCAATTGTATGCACAGTGTAGTCTCTTTATATTAGGCACACATTACCTGTCCTTAATACAAAAATGTCCTCATTTTGAAGGTACTTCTGTATAGGTTTGTATGTAGATTGGGACATTGCAAAATGTACTGTATCCTTGTCCTTATTATAAAGGCTACACTGTACTGTTGTATTCATTAATTAATGATTAATACAAACCTCTGATAGTTCCACAAGGTGTGGTCCGTCTGATAATGGACGTGAGAATCTGACGGGCATCTGTGGGGTAGAGCCTTTGACTGGTAATGTGAACTTGATATCCAACCTAGACAGAGAGGAGGGGGAGAGAGGGGGGGGAGGGGAGACATAATAAGAACAATAACACAAGAACACTTTTTGTAACACAGAAGCAACTGTGTATTGAAGATTGTATTTCGAATGTTAAATTGTTTATATGAAAAGTTTAAGACAGGGTTAAGTTAACCCATTCAAAAATTGTAATCTAAGGACACTACAGGACAAAGTTGCATGTACTGTAAAGTCCCTCTCCTTTTATACTCAGTTATTTGTAAAAGGTCTAATGGGTTGCCCTCTCTAAGTCACCCTGTTCTTTATTGTGGTTTACAGCTGACACTTATTCAAGACACAAACTTATCAGTGTACAATAAAACAGCTTTTATTAGAATCGGATAGGGAGAAAGGATGGAGGGGGTACTGTAATAACTGCAAGAGGAGAGCTAGTATAGCAATTGATAAAGAAATAATAATTGCTCAAAAATTACAACTTATTTTTTACACCTTGTTATCACCTCAACTTGCACAATTGAAGTGCGAACAAGATTGTAAAACTGCTTGTAGAGAAAGAGAGAGAGGGAGAGGGAGGCATGTCTGTGTGTAATACTACAACATGCAGTTAGAGAGAGGGAAAAGGGAGAGCCCTATCAAAGCATTTACTGTTGACACAGTAACTAATAGATGTGATAAATACCTCCACAAGCAAACTGCTAACAATTCTTAATTTGCTCATTCATAGTAATAAAGTTTAAATAGGGCCAAATTGAACTACGCCACTTAACACAGCATTACACACTAGTACTGGCATTAAACACTAATACTATAGCATTATGTACATGTAGCTACAATGTATTGGTGTATTTTTAGTTTACCTTGCCATGTCAGTTATAGAGGCTCTCACAAACTCTGATGGTGATTTTTGATGCAAAACAATCCCCAAGCTACTGCACAAGAAATGCCTCTGGCCTCTACAAAAAAATAATACAACAATAAAAGGGAAGAGAGAGAGAGAAAAAGAAAGAAGATAGGGCACATATTACTCTAAATCCTTACACAGCATCCGATGCATCCACACAGTTTTCCTTATGTATAAGGGTAAGGTCTGGCAGTCCATAGATACTGACATTTCCCTCATTATCCATCACTAGAATAACCGAACGACCTGTGAAAGAATTACAGTAGCGTTACTTCAAAATCTCCATTGATCCTTTACAATCTAAACTCTCACAGACTTGGTTCTTTTTTTGAATAAGCTTCTCTTCTCTCTATTACCTGAGACACGAAGATAGTGTGCAGATATGGCCTGTAGCTCATCTTGTTCGCTCTGTTTAAACCTCACCCGATACTTCTTCTTTGTATTAGGAATGCTTGTCACCTACAATGTGAAATATACACATAAAATAAATTGGTGATTAGCAAATCAATAAAATATCAGTGAATTAAATCAATAAAATATCAGTGAATTAAATCAATAAAATATCAGTGAATATAATATCAAGGAATTAAATCAATAAAATACCAGTGAATTAATAATGAATATAAGTACTTACTCTTAGCATATCTTCAGTGCATATGATCATGTAGTGTGTTCCTTTCTGCTTGTAGCTTCCTTCATCATTGGCATCCAGCAGGTAATTGAGACCATCAACAACACCAACAAACAATACCGAATGGTTCTTGCGTTGATTATATTCTTTATCTGTTGAAAAAAGAAATGGTAATTGTTCATTCATTTCTCTTATAAGCAGATTCATTCGTGTAATACTAATAGCAGTGAACAGGACAATAACGCAACAATTTTTAGTCGGAATCAGCTCAAACTTGATACATAACATAAGTACATGTATACGTATCAGAAAAAAATGATAAAATGAAGAATTCTCTCCTAGTCATTTTTGCCAAAATTTGGTCAAAGTCCCTGTACTATAGTACAGGGACTTTTACTCGATTTTGGAGCAACTTAAAAAATTCGTAAAAAATCTAAACTTGATTGGAATCAGCTCAAACATTCTACACAACATAAGTACATGTATACGTATTAGAAAAAATTATAAAAATAAAAAATTCTCTCCTAGTCATTTTTGCCAAAATTTGGCCAAAGTCCCTGTACTATAGTACAGGGACTTTTGCTCAATTTTAGAGCAACTTTAAAAATTCGTAAAAAATTCAAACTTGATTAGAATCAGCTCAAACTTTCTACACAACATAAGTACATGTATACGTATAAAAAAAGGATAAAAATGAAGAATTCTCTTCTAGTCATTTTTTGACAAAATATCCTAAGGCCCATGGTCTATCAGAGAATCCAATAAAAATTCAGGAAATTGTTGTAGCTACTTTTGGCAAAAAACACCTGACACTCAGTGGCTAAAATTCTAAAAATTTATGATCCAAAATAGGCAACTTTTATTCGTTGAAATAATATATCATAAATAAAATAATTGACCCACAAAGAGCCTCACTACATGTAAAATTCTTTATTCTTACCAACAGGCATGACGACAGGTGATCTCTGACCCCTCTGTTTACTGGATGGCATATCAACCGTAAAACCCAACACAGCGCCTTGATTAGTACCGACCAGTAACCCATGTACCAGTGATGAGCCACCCAAGTGAGTGGGGGCAGTAAAATCAATGGTCCTAATGGAGTCACGCTTGACCTGAGGAGTAGCCACAGCCTGAGGTACAGCAGACTGAGGAGGTACGTTCTCTTTGGCTGAAGACGCTGCATTGGCACCACGGCTTCTCCTAACGCTAGAGACTCTGTTAAATAGAGCAGGACGAGCACTACCGGATCGAACAAGAGGAGAGTCGGAGGACCTTCGTATCGACCGATTGACGCTCTGGAGTCCTCTCATACTGCGCCTGATGTTCACTCTCTGCATACTGTGCCTGAAGGAGCGACGGATGGACTGCATACGAGACATTGATGTGAGGTTTTCGATGGTTTGATCAAAGGTGCAGTGAACATAGATAGTCTCATTCTTGATGTAATCAACAACAGCAAAACCATAAGCACACCCAATGGCAACCCTGTGCATGGAGAAACAGAAGCGAAGAATCATAATAATAAATAATAAATTACATATATGTACATGTAAAAAACTTTTGCAGGTATTTTACGATAAATATAGTACACCCAACTTCTCTCTCTCTCTCTCTCTCTTCTCTCAATCGCCTTACAGTCCTTGTTCTTTAGCAATGGCGAGTGCTGATACAGCTACAGTTGGGAAGAGGTGGATACAGTGAGTTGGTTGGAACCCAGGGAGACAAGCAATAGGATCAGTCCTGACCTCAAGGGGAGCCTGCCAGCCTCTGGGACGCTGACGTGGGTCGTCCCTCATGATAGATACACGCAATAACTAAACAACAACAACAACAGCTATTATTATTATTATTAGTTTTAGCATATAAAACAAATTTATTTATTCTGACACTAAGAATAGTATTAACGTACATGTCACTATCATTACTATATATGGTAACAAGATGTTTCAGATGTGCAATGAAACATACTACACCCAATTACACTATTGATACATTACCTCTATTGAGAGGTAGTGAGCTAATTCAATTAGCAATTGGAGTGGTTTCCCACATATCCACAAATATTGCTACAATGCAAATCTAGTACAAGCACAGAGAGAGAGGGGGCGAGATAAAAGAAAAATACGACATTGAACTGAAAAATGCTCTTTTAAATATCTTCACACAATTTCAGCATTATCAACAACATGTGAATGTTGGTGTAGCTTTCCATAGCTTCATATTAAGATTGTAATTCAAGCTACAGCATTAGGTAATAGAATAGTGGTGCCAGGTTACAAGTAGACACAGTTCAAGACTTGTGTAGTAGTAGCAATCAAGAGTACATAAACCCTACAACTTACACGTACTTAAATGCATTATTAATGTATTTTTATGCCAGTCCTATCATCAACTGTACAATAATTTTAAGCTCCGCCTTCTCTCTCTCTCATTCTCTTTTTGTCTCTGTCTCTATCTCTCTCTGTCTTTTTCTCTGTCTCTGTCTCTCTCTCATTACTATCTTACAATGATTGTTCTGTCAGCAGTTTGGTTATTAGTCGTTAATAAAAGGGTGTGTCCTCCTTGAAACCCAATGAGTAGATGATCATCAACCAGTTTAAGAGCAGAGACAATTAACTGGTCATCATCGCTCCGTGGATCCCAGAAACCAATCTATTAACAGTACAACAAATGAAAAGGCTTATTATTATGTGCATATACATGCATGCATGCTACTTCCCTACATTTACATGTACTATACATACATATATACAGTGAAACACAGTGCAAGTTGTGCACTTTATGTAGGAATAAGCTCTGGGGGTGATAATGAGCATCTATGAATCATTCCAAGAACAAGCAAGTACCACTCAAATTTAATAATAAGAGTAAATATTATGATTAATCCGGAACTAGAGGATGTATCCGTTAGCCTGCCTATTGCTGACCTGTCTGTACTGTGAGAGGTCATCAGTCAAACTGTCTGATCTGCCAAACTCTGTCTCTGGTGTGTTGAAGTATTGCATGCACTTAACCTCATACAACAGCTTCATTGATACTGAATGAACATTGTATGAGAGAGAGAGGGAGGGAGGGAGGGAGGGGGAGAGAGAGAGAGGAAAGAGAGAGTGAAAAGATAACAAATAATGACACTCTGTTTGTGTATTAACAACTAACATTGCCTAATATCCCAGAATTTAACACTTCCATCTTCATGTCTATACAAAAACAACAACACAAGATCAAAACAATCATTTCAGACATACACTTACCCAGACAACAGTATATCCTTGCTATCATGGAAAGAACCTTCAAGGACTCCTCCATCAATGGGCCACACCTACAATACACAACAACTCACAATAAACTCATCACAATAATTCCCTGACTTTGGTTGGAGCCCTGTACACGGACTCCTGCTGCACTTTCCCGGTACAATTAATGATTGACCACACCTCCTTGTTAATGTTACCGTACACTGCTACCTCTTTGACCGGGCTGTTGTGTAAACTGTATAAATATGGAGGCTGGAGGAGTGGGAGCCTGCACGGGAGAGAGAGGCCATTTTAAATTCATATCACAAACATACAATGATTCTATTCTTTAAGATTGAGGCTACAAGGTATACTCACTGTGGTGTGCTCAGATCAATAAATAATATCTCTTGCTCAAGAAGTAGGATTAGAATCTTGCGGACTATAAAAAAAATAAAATAAAGTTTGCACTAAAAACATACTCAATTTAAATCTATCTCTTTTTAAGTCTCTCTACCTCTCCTCTTAATGAATAAAATTGTACTATATAACACTGTATGTGTATGTATTCATTATTCCCTATACCTGTGGACGTGGTCCCAACGTCTGAAGAAATACCAACAATGCCTGAGTCCTTATCAGTCAAGCAGCTCTCGATGATCTGCATACCTTTGACAGGAGAGGTGAGCTGGAGCGTAATGGCTTCTCTGTTCTCATAGATAGTGACACTATCACCATCCACTGTATCGTATGGCGAGCCACCACTGAATATTATGAAATCATCGCTGTACGGATAATAAGAGAGAAAAGTCTATTATTATTATAATATAACATATGATTGAATGGTGAGTATTATGAAATAATTGTGTGTAAGTATGAGATGTATTATGAATGGAAATTAACACATGAAATGGAGTAAAAGAGGCAGACACAAAGACACAGCCAGACAGAGGGAGAAATAATAGTAATCCATCCCTACCGCCCACTCATTTGATTATTTCATAAATTTGTACTTACTCTGGCCAAATGAGTGACTTCAAAGGATGAAGTTTTGTCTCCTCTATAGCGTAAAAAGAACATGAAATGTGCATGATACTATAATACACTTACCGTATATTGATTTCAAGATGGGGGGAGAGTCAGGAGATAGAGAGTTCCAGATATACACGTGGCCATCAGTATGACCGGACATAAACTGGGAGCCATTGCTATGCCAGTAAACATCAGTCAGGTCCCCACCCTCCTGAAACAAATAATGAATATATATATATATATATAAGAGTAGCTTGCACTCGTTAAGTGATCATGCTCTAATATCAGTAATATATACCTTCAATGGCCCAAATAGTGTGATTGGTTTCCAAGTCATTGCGTCCCAGAGTTCAAAGTAAGAATGTTCATAACCAATCAGCAGCTATACAAGAAAGTATAAACACAATGTGCATAATTTACTAAAATATTGTTATTGTTATCGCCATGCACAGGAATCATTGGTCAACAAATTCCCTACAACTTTGCTCACATGTAATAATTATAAAAAACATCAAAGAGGCTATAGTGACTGTTACATGTCATACATCATTATTAAAATCCTTAGCATAGACATCAACACTGACATTACATCACTATATTCTCATTACTACATGTATAATGTACATGAACACTGGCTTCAGACTGGTATGACCAGCTTTTTTGCTCTCTCTCTCTCTCTCTCTCTCTCTCTTATAATAATAACCTGTTTAGGATAAGCAGTGTTGATTTTGAGTGCTTTAACTTCTCCAGGGACATCCTTCCCTTTGTATCCAAGACTATAATAATAATAAACAAATACATAGTTACATGCATACATAAGTTTAGACACAGATCATGAACATACTATGTCCGTGCTCTTGACCATGATAAAACTTCGGGTGACATTCCATCAAACTCGGTATCCATAGGATAAGTGATACCACCCAATGTACCAACAAACAAGCATTCACCATAAGGAGGTAGACAGCATGTAGTGATGGTCTTAGCTCTATAAATAAAAGTAGGAGGAAAAGAAAAGGAATTAAAGGATTAGGAGAAGGAAATCAAGGATGAAAGAAGTGTTTTATATAGCTCACAGTCCTCCGTGAAATTTGTACGTTCTTTTCAATACTAGTTGCGCCTTTCCTTCGTCCTCCTCCAGTATTTGCCATTTGTTGAGTATATTGTTACTGCACACAGTAATCAGAGCAGGCTGTTGTGGATCAAACAATAAACGAGATACAAATTGAAGTAATAACACGATGCAGTAATGAGATATGGACAATGCATACAAAGTCACAATATATGTACATGTACTCCATTTATACTTTCACTGTAGTCTCTCATATTCAATTATTATTATTGTTATTATTGCTGTTGTTATTATTATTATTATTATTATTATTATTATTATTATTATTATTATTAAACAAAAGCAACAACAGCAGGGAAGTGAACAAAACAAAATGAAGAAAACACTATTATTATTATTATTATTATTATTATTATTATTATTATTATCTACAATCTACCATTATTGTTTACTTTCCCTCACATGTACACAGACACACGGACTAACATAAAAGTAATGTAGAGAGTACAAATTAAAGTGTGCAATTGATGTAAAGAGAAGAAGGTGAAAGCTTGGCAAGACAGAATAGTCTGGCTGTTAGCAATGCCAATAATGACGACAGCTAATGAAATATTATCAGTTATATAATAAAAGAAAGCAAAATAGAGAGAGAGAGAGGAAAAGAGAGAGAGAGATAGGGGCAAGAGAAACAAACCTCGGATAAAAATGGCAAAATCTGTAAAACTTTGAAATTATCTAGATGGACTGATGCTAGTTTCACACCAGGACTTCCATACCTACATACACACGAAATAATAATCACAACCACAGTAATTGATTATACAAACAAAAATATCAAAAACTACACGACAAGTTTATGTATCTCTAGTGAATGTGTATACGTTTGCTCATTGTAGTAGATTGTACAAATATCGAAACTAACATGTTCATTTCTCCATTGAAGGTACCGATGTACATAAGGTGACGAGATGTGTCGTAAGCAAGAGTCGAAGGGCCCAATGGAAACCCATGAGTACCATGCTAATGAAAGAGAGGGAGAGAGGGAGGGAAGGGGAACATAATTGGCAGCATGGGAGAAATGATGCTTGTTTGTGATTGCAGTGCATATTTCTGTCATGCCTGGCTTGTCACAAACACTCTCTTACCGTCTCCAGCTCAAAGTGTTCCCTTAGATCGGATAGCGAGCCCTGGACGCTACTGCCTGCTACAGTACGTTTCTTCCAAAACTTCCACATTATTGTGCTGTAGAGTTTGGTTTTTTCCTCTTGGCTTGTCTCGCCCCTGCTTTTCGTTCTATGAATAAACAGAGTGAGAACTAATTGACAACAGACCTCGCAATGTGTGACAACTGCTTTCGGTTTAATACACCCCACGCGGTACAATAGCCTTGGACCAGGTGAAAATGGAGGTGTATACTGTATAGTTCTCAGAGGAGGACGCAGAGAGAAACGAGAGAAGAGGAAGAAGAGCGGAAAGCAGAGTAACAATCCACCTCAACTAATTAAATAATTAAACTAACCGCAAATCATGAATAATTCATTGAGCATTAATAATGATTTATCACAAAAGTTAATTATTAGCGAGAGGAATGAGTTCCTGCCTTTTGATTTCTTGAGTCATGTGATGCCGTAACCTGATCATTTCTTTTGAAGAGAAAGGGCAATTAGAAGACCATTTGATTGTTTGCCCATCTCCAAATGAAAGCCATCTTGCATACTATGAACACAATCAGTGGGAGAGGTTGGAGAGGATTACAACATTCATTCTACCTGACAAACAAACACGCCACAGTCACTTCCATTAGTCTGTCTTGGTATATTCTGAAATAAATAAATAAATAAGTAAAATGCTTCTGATCACATTTAAAATAAAGTATTCATTATATTCTTCACTACTTGCAGTCTTGTATGTATACCTTTGGATAGGAGGATTGGTATCTTGACAGTGTAGCTGGTTTTATCTTAAAGTGATGCAACATTTTCATTAGAAATAATTTAAGTGTCTGCATTAATAATAAAACACTTCATACCAGCTTACTCTCTTTCTCCTTCACTCACCTTCATGCAGCTGTTATTTCTATGCCCCAAGGAGTCGTAGTACTCAATTTTCTGGATCAAGCAAACAACATCAACTGTACCATGACAATACAAGATCAATAATTAAGTCACAACTAACCAATTCCTTGATAGAAATGTGAGCAAGACTCCAGTGATTGCCGGTATGGACAGGTATTAAAATCTTAGATAGCCTAGAAATGTTTACCTGCAATTGTCCACTTAGCAGTACCAAATGTTAAGAATTCTTACATTTTTCAGCCATTTGCTTACTCCTTGAAAACCAGATCTCTTCAATTTAGTGTAAAAGAAAGTATTAGTAATGTAAATATCCTGTAATAAAAACAAATTTATACATAGTTAACTTATAGTATACTAGTACTTACTCTTCTATTATATGCCAATATTAACTTCATGTAGGAATTAATAACCTAAATAAATAGAAAAATTTAAAAGGATTCACTGCACTCTAACTAATGGCATACATGTACCGTACCTACTATGTGATTCCAATCTGAAGTAACAAAATAAAGCTCCCACAAAATACAGATTAATCAAATTATGATTTAACATTGAATACCTGATCATTCAACCAGTTCCCTGGCTGAAGAGTCAACAGATCAGACTCCAAAAGTTTAATGCCATAACACATCACTACTGTCTCATGAGACATAGACGTATTCTTCTCGCTTTCATCAGAATCGGATAAAACTATGACATCACTAGGAATTAGTCTCGAAATAGGATGCCCTCTTTTTTTCTCTCCTTTAGGTTTAGCCCAGTGTGGTGAGGGGGAGTGATCATGCTTGATGCTCACTTGAGTCTTTTCTGATTCACTACAACCTAAATGGTTAGACTAAGGGCCTTTATAGGCTCTTTATTACTGTAGTCGAGAGTTAAGTGTAATGGTTTCTCTCGTTGTTTCTTCTTGGTGTCATCAGGGGGATCATGATCATGTGATGGATACAAAAGGCTTGGAGGTACTCCTCCCCATAAAGATGAAAAGGGAAATGAGCATAAATTGAAACTAAAAAGAGAGAGAATTATCTTTAACTTTAGAGAAATGACTTACCAAGTTGACATCTACACTCAGCTCCACGTGGCCATAATGCTCCACCCAAAAAATCAATCAATCATTCAGTCTACACAAAAATGATTGCACTCCAGTATTATTTTTGCAGTATTTTTTAATATTTTGCTTCATGTGGGGCTTATTGTCACTCACTTTCACCTTGAGATTCCGGTGCAGCTTCATGTGCGACTAATAACTTTTTCTTGAGGAACAATCCTTTTTGTGCTCTAAAGCCCTCCATACACTAGGCAACATGTTGCAAGCAACATTTGTGGTTACTTTGATCTTGTGTCTAAGAATAGAATTCTGTTCTATTTTTGGAACAAGATGATTACAAGATCAAAGTAAACCACAGAAGTTGCTAGCAACATGTTGCCTAGTGTATGGAGGCCTTTAGCCTCTTTGTATATGGCATGCTTTGCAAAAAAATTATGTTGCACATAAAAGAGGACAGGACAACTCTATAAAGGACAGCCAGTGTAAAGGGTACAACAACTTAATAGTAACACCTATTATATTAGCTTCGACATCATAACAGCCGGATCGCATAAGCGTTATTTTAGTGCTTTGGTTTCCACTCTTCCACTGACAATGAATGAAATTCATCACTAAATAACAAGTAAAATAGTGATAAAACTGGATATGGCAAAACATAAAGCAGATCTGCACCTAGTGCCACTATACTCATACTTAAGTCAATGTTTATGACAAAATAATAGCTAATTGTATCTGAAAATAATATCATTATAATTATTTATATATGTTAAGTTATGTCAATTCAGTTACAGTCTCTCTCTGATAGACAAGATGAGTTTTTTAGCAGCTTCCCTAAATTCCTTGTCCTTCATGATAGCAATAGCATCAACAACTGGAATACTGTTGAAACTTGTCCTTCCAACTAGCATTACAACAGCAAAGAATGCTCCATGTGTAATATTAGTGAAAAACTGTACAATATAAAGAATAAACGCAGGGCTTGTGCACCCAATGACAGACATCAAGAGTATGAACATTGTTACTGTCACCTGAAAAGATTCCTTTAAAATCTTGGTTTCATTTCCACGTTGAGATTCTGCTGACAAATTTTCAGGGACAATTCTTCTGGTTGCTCTTCGTAACCTATATGCCTTATAGAATATCGCCATATACATTACTAGTGGCAGAATTGACCCAATAAAAATAATAAGCACAATACTAACAAGAACAAAATAATAGCATCCAAATGAACAATTGGAGAAAGCTGTACATATTTTATTGGTACTGACGTATATGTAGCAGCCCATTATTCCTTTAACTGGAAGGAGGACTCGAAAGAATGTAGTAAAATAGACCAGGCTTAGTAATGAATATATTATTCTTTTTGAGTGTTTCTCATAAAAGAAAGGAAGAAAAACAGAAACGAATCGATCAAGGGTTAAGATAAAAGTCATCATGAATCTGAAATATGCAAATCCATCATTGACGATGCCTAAAATGTTGCACATAGCCTCACCCAGCAGCCAATCCCTAGCAATACCAGATACAACGATTGCAGGAGGAACGAGTAATGAATAGGCAATTTCTACAATTGTAATTTGTATTGCAATGAACATGAGTCGTTGGTGAAGACTGCGATACTTGATAATGATGAACAGTATGAAAATGTTCAGCAATAATCCAATGATACCTGTTACTAGAGCAATACCTGCTTGGATATAATTGATAGCAGGAGGAATGCCAAAGGATGGAGGAAAGTCAGGTGGAAGACCACAGGGATAACTATAATCAGTGGAATTATTGGACATAGCTAGCTCTGAGATCATAGGCGAGCGAGGAGGTCGAGAGGCGAGTACACTAGAGTCGAGGCGCTAGTAGGCGTGTCTTTGACGTAACTTACGCGTACTGCTGTTATAAAAAGCTTCCATGCAGAGCTGAAGTGCATTGGAACAGTAGAAACATGAACAACAGCAGTCTAGAATCATCATATGCATGCGGCCTTCCAGAAGACTTTCCACCATCCCTCAATATTCCTCCTGCTATCAATTATATCCAGGCAGGTATTGCTCTAGTAACAGGTATCATTGGATTATTACTGAACATTTTCATACTGTTCATCATTATCAAATATCGCAGTCTTCGCCAGCGTCTCATGTACATTGCAATACAAATTTCTATAGTCGAGATTGCCTATTCATTACTTGTTCCTCCTGCAATCTTTATATCTGGTATTGCTAGGGAATGGCTGCTGGGTGAGGCTATGTGCAACATTTTAGGCATCGTCAATGATGGATTCGCATATTTCAGATTTATGATGACTTTTATCTTAACTCTTGATCGATTCATTTCCATTTTTGCACCGTTTTTCTATGAAAGAAACTCTAAAAAGATTCTATTTGGTTTGCACGGTCTAGTTTACTGTACGACATTTTTCCGAGTTCTGCTTCCAATCAACGGAATAATGAGCTGCTATGTGTATGTTAGTACTAACAAGATCTGTACGGCATTCAGTGGTTGCTCACTGGGATGCTATTACTTTGTGTTCGTTAGTATTATTCTTATTATTGTAGTTGGAGCCTTACTGCCTTTATCCATGTATGTTATTTTATTTATCAAGGCTTACCGAGTCAAAAAAGCAACAAAGAAAATGGTACCAGCTCCAAGTACCCCATCCGAGGAAATGAAGAGCTGCACATCACAAAAGGGATCTGTAGTCTATCCAGAGCTAGCCAGTGCTCCTTCTGCATTTGACGATGACCTTACTGATCAGAAAACTAAACGGCAAATCAGACCTTCCGTTACATCAAGCAAGTCAAGACACCTTTCGCTGTCTGCAGAAAACAAGAAAAGCCTCCAAGTTACAATCACAATGTTTATACTTCTGCTGTCTGTCATTGGATGCACGAGCCCTGCTTTTGTCCTCTACATGGTTCAGTTTCTCTCCCTTCATGACCAGAAAACGTTTTTCATTTTGATAATGCTCCTTGGGAGGACAAGCTTCAATAGCATACCAGTCGTTGATGCCATTGCTATCATGAGGGATCAGCAATTCAGAAAGTCCATCAAGCTCTGCTTCAGGCGCTAATGATGAACCATTTTCCCTTGAACCAAGAGACAATTACATTTGAACTGATCTGTTAATGTAGTGTTTTGTGTTTTGTAGTTAGTGTTAATATTTTAGCAACAAAATGAAACTAAGTTTCAAAGTAACCAATAATATAATGCCAGACATAGTTAACATGAAGCAGAGTAGACTACATGCACCAAGAGTTAGGCTAGTTTTCTTGCTGCATCTTTGTACTAGACATTACCCAGTCCAAGTACTTTTTGGAGCCATGATTTATCTGTGCAGAATAAAATACATTTATAGCTACAGCTACATGGCATTATTTTTGTCAAATTTAAGCTAAATCACATTGCACATTTTCTGCATGCATAATACTTAATTACTCAGCTATACCTCAGTTGAAATCACTTCTGGTACATCATATGGATGATTTTGTTCAATAAAACTAGTTAACGAGCTAATCTGATCTTTTGAAGTCTTAACAACCTACAGACAGGATATTATTATTATTATTATTATTAATATTATAACCATTAGGAATTCGCTGTCTTCTTGTAATTCGCCCTCCCATTCATATCTACAATTATATATATTAAATCGAGATAATTATTATTTTTGATTTTTTGTTTCAACTAATCAACTCACATTGATGTTATTTGTGGTATGATGTTAACGCATGCTGCTAGCCTGGACCTTAAAATATTTCTGAAAAAAATTATAATTATTTTCAGTTTTCAAAGACTTTAAATTTGAACTTCCACCTATGATTTATGCTACCATTACGGCATTACCTGCTCAAATCTCTGGCAACCTCCATAGAGGGACACGTGACAAAAGTAACTAAACACGATGAGGTAGACGTGCTCGACATTTTCGCCTGAATATTATAACCTGCTGTAACCAATGGCAGGTAGGAACAGCGATAAGTCAATGAGGACTTAGTGGAATCACACAGTACAGGGATACGTCTCAAAAGAAACTGAAGCATCAAAATCTTAATATTTTAATTTTTTTGTTCATTATAAAGAAAAGAGGAGGTGAAAAGGAGGAGCATCTTAATTTAAATTTTAGTGTATTTTTAAATATTTTCTATCAACGTCTTTCTCTACTCCTGCTCCTACTGCGTCCTCTTGACCTATAATAATATTGATTAAACGCATTGTCACTCTTCTCTCTCTTACCCATTGTATCTATCTCTTTCGCGTCTGTCTTGATTAGAATAACTTCTCCTCTGCGATCTATCCCTGTCTCTATCTCTATCTCTGCTTCTATTCCTATCTCTGTCCCTGCTTCTGTCTCTATCTCTGTCTCTGCTTCTCTCTCTGTCCCTATCCCTGCTTCTCTCTCTGTCTCTATCCCTGTCTCTGTTTCTTTCACCATCCTCGGTATCTTTTAATGGTCTTTCTCTACTACGGCTCCTATTCATTAAAAACATGATTACGTTGCTATACCAAAGCATTCCCAAAAACAAACCTGCTCCTTCTCATCTTCCTCTCTTCTCTTTCCTTCTCCAACCGTTCTTTCTTCTTTGCTATGATCTCCTAAAAAAACCAGGGGAGTCCATTACTCTCCCTTACTCTCACTTACTTCCAAGGACTCCATCTTCTCCCTTATCTGAACAAACCCCATGTGAAGCTTCCCACCAAAATGATCAGCCAACCTTTAACAAAAAAAAAAACAGCAATAGCACATGATCAAATCAGAGCCACACATTAATTTTAAGCCAATAACACTGCCTGAGCATACTCACCTTCTATCATTATCATACATACTAAGAAATGCCCCACAAACTTCACAGGCTCTCAGTTTCTGCTGCTGCTGTGCATGACGAGGCAAATGAGAGTGATATTCGTCCTCAAGTTTCTTCTTTTTCAATTTGATCTCTTCGACTTGTTGGAGGACAAGTAGAGACTCGTCAATGTTGCCCTCGCTCCCTAGGGCCTCCGACTTTGTGACCTTCTCGCCAATAAGGACAGCACACTCGTGAATCTCTTGAGCCTTGGGAGAGAAAGGAGCAAGAGTGTTGGGATAAAAAAATAAAACAAAAGAGGAAAGAAGGTTCAGTAATGTTTATAAAATATCCCAATTACTAGTTTTTGCTGGACTGTGTCTTCCTCAACATTTTCGATCCTTTTCTTGTTGGTTTCGATCTTCCTCTCGTTCTCTTTGATAAACGACTGAAGATACTCCAAAACTTCTTCCTCGTAGTGATAATCCCGTCTTTGCTGTGCTCTCTCGTACTCATTCTTCAATGCAATTGAGTGTATTTTATTGCAATCACCCATCTCTTCACGCTGTGGTTTGCAATAGAGGAGACAAAATTCAGAATAGCCTAATCCAGCCATTATTAACAATAATGATAGCTTACAGTATTAATAAAGAGCTCGTTTATACATATGCCCAATAAAAATGGCCGACAGACGTCAGAATCAGAAAAGCGTCTCTCTTTATTTTTATCGTTTCCTAGAGGAAGGGAAATGGTCTACAGAATCAGGTACGGTAGAGATAATAAAAGTTTAAGCACACATTGAAACATAAATAACGTATAATAATAATAATGTAATGTATACATGTTTTTATAGCCTTGTCCCTACCCATTCGTCCCTCCCACCTAAAATGTCGTGCTTTGGTTAACTCACGGCCACTATAACTCACGTCAATTAACAGTGATCATAACACAAGGAATGAATCATTTCATTAACACAATTAATCAAAGGTCTGATCTGTAGTATTGTATATACTGTGTATAGAAAACAGTGGGTGTGGTCAAGGACATAATAGTGCCTCCTTCTGGAAAGTTGTCATTTTAAAAACTCACCGTCTCTATTCTGTCCCATTAGTTGGTCTAACATCTTACTCATCTGATCACGAGCAGACATCTTCTGTTTTTATCTTCTTCTAGTTTGTGAGCCCCTCCACTTTCCACCATCAAAAACTCATTCACCACAGTCTGCGCATGCGCACTTGATGCAACCGCCGGTTTATACAGTGATTAAATCTGGTTCCTAACATGAGAATTTCAGTATAGAATCTAACCCAGTTTCGGCGTCTGGGCTGCGTGTTCACACGATGCATTGACTGCAAAAGGAATCATAGGATAGTCACAAGACATAAACACACAGTCATTTACCACTGGAGGAAGAAAGGAATAAACCATGGCTTTATTACTATTACTAACTGCTGTCATTCTTGGTAAAAATAGCTGTAATTTTCTCTTTATTCTTCTTTCTCTCAATAGTTTCAGCCCAAGGTGTTCTGACTGTTCTCTCTCAATGTACTGGTAGTAAAATATGCCTTCTTTACAAAACTGGTAATAATGAAAAGGGATCCCCTATTGCAACAAAATCTTCATACTTTTGGTACGACCCTCTCGTCAAGAACTGTGTGCTGCTTGAGGAAGATTGCTCGATACGTAACGAAAATTCAACTTTCACTTCACTCGAGAATTGTCGGAATATTTGCAAAGGTATCAAGAAATTAGAAATTATAATATTTATATTTTAATTAGTCCCACTGGATCCAGTCAAAAATTGTAATGATGACAACAAACTTGGCAATTGCGATGAAGGTAGATTAAGTATAGTATTATCTTTATGCACTTTGTAAAGTAAACACAGAACAATAATAGTTATTGTTGTTCTAAGACTATCGATTAATCTTGTCATTATTTTGATTTAATAGATTTACCACCAACTTCAACCAGAACCACAAATCATTCATCAAAGAGGAACTACATGTCAATAGTTGTAGCTGTTTCTGGCAGTGTTGGCGTCATAGCTCTTGTTGCAATCATGATAGCAACAGCATTTTCATTGAAGAGACGAAAGACGACTGTAAATCGTAGGAAGTGAGTTCTTAAAAATAAAATATATATATTTTAGATAGTAATGTTTAATGCTAAGCTTGAGAGTTTGTTTTTGATTCATTTTTGACACATGCTTTTATTTTTGTTGTGTCTTCCTCTTATTCTACACAGGAAGCTAGACAACATGCTGACAATGCTTTCAGATCCCAACGGTAATTCTAGTAGCGATGATGATCTCTTTGGAGATGATCCAGAAGACGACAACCTCTTTGATAGATTAGAGCGCCAGCACTTGTGACAATAAGAAATTATTATTTATCCATTATAGTGTGTTTCCTGGAGTAATGCATCACCCTGTAATACACAATACTATATTCATGCTCATACCTATTGCCTATTAATATAATACAGGTGAATGAGAAATGATGTTCTCAAGCAATGCGCGAACACCGACTGTATTGTACAATAGACACTAATGCATCTTATTGTTAATGTAATTTTAATGTACCTCCTATTGATGATAGTGTGTGTTAGTGTCTGTGTGTAAGTGTATGATAATGTAGCTCATTCAGTCTCTACATTAGGAGCAGGTGTTCCTTCTTCTCTTTCTCCCTCTTTTTCCTCTTCCTCCTCTTCTTGCTTGATGACAGTTTCTCCGTCTCCCTCTTCTTCTCTCTCCTCTTCTTCTTTCTCTTCTTCTTCGTCTGTTATTGGCTTCTCGTTCGGTTCAGTTGATCCTGTTACCTTTCCTTCTGCTCCTTCCTCTTCATTCTCCAGTAGATGCACAGGCATCCTCCATCGGATTATTGCACCATCAGCACTTACACTGACAATGTGGCGGCCATCTGGAGACACTTTGACGCGATTAATCTCTCCGCTATGACCAATGCCTACATGAACAAAACAAAAATTAGCATAATTATTAATAAATTATCATATTATATTACTGACCTATGTGCGTGACTTCTCCTTCGTTATACTTCCACAATTTAATGAGCTTGTCGCTGCTCCCAGTCACAAAGAGGTTCTGGCACATATCCATTCCATTGATGCTCCCAGTCTGAGATCCCTCCAGCTCTCTTATCTGTGACCCATCGTAAGTCTCCCAGTAACCAATTTTACGATCTGTCCCTCCAGTTATGACTTGGCATTCTTGAAGATCGTAACAAATTGCTTTGAATAGTGTATTAGCAAATAACACTTGAGCTCTTGTATTCTTACTGTACAAGGAAGATACACACATTATTAAACTTATACACTAACTAATGTACATGTATAAGTATTGATGCACAAGTATAGCTATTGAAGCTATTATTGTACAATATATGTAGGTTCACTAGCTACCTAATCTCACTCAATCACTTACACTAGGTCCCAGATGATGCATGTTCCGTCTGTAGATGCTGTCACACACTGGTTGTTATAAAAACAAAAAATAATTCCTTCACTAAAGGGCAGACAAAAAATACTTACTTCCAAATCATCTCTTCTGATTTTGATGCAAGAAATAGCTCCTAAAAGAGTTGAAAAAATAGATAATTATTGTATGAATTTTTTGTCTAGGAGAGAATTTTTTATTCTAATATTATTTTTTTCTGATACATATACATGTATGCAATAAAATTAATGTTCTTAATTTGTGCATGAATTACAGTCATAATTGGTTTTTTATGGTTGCTCTAAAATCGGGTTTAACAGCCTGTACTATAGTACAGGGACATCGGCCAAATTTCATCAAAAATAAAAAGTTGAGAATTTTTTATTTTTATAATATTTTCTGATGCATATACATGTACTTATGTTGCATAGAAAGTTTCAGCTGATTCTGATCAAAATTAAATTTTTTATGAATTTTTAAAGTTGCTCCAAAATCAGGCTTAACACCCTGTACTATAGTACAGGGACATCAGCCAAATTTCGTCAAAAATAAAAAGTTGAGAATTTTTCATTTTTATAATTTTTTCTGATGCATATACATGTGCTTATGTTGCGTAGAAAGTTTCAGCTGATTCTGATCAAAATTAAATTTTTTATGAATTTTTAAAGTTGCTCCAAAATCAGGCTTAACACCCTGTACTATAGTAAAGGGACATCAGCCAAATTTCGTCAAAAATAAAAAGTTGAGAATTTTTTATTTTTATAATATTTTCTGATGCATATACATGTACTTATGTTGCGTAGAAAGTTTCAGCTGATTCTGATCAAAGTTAAATTTTTTATGAATTTTTAAAGTTGCTCCAAAATCAGGCTTAACACCCTGTACTATATAGTACAGGGACATCAGCCAAATTTCGTCAAAAATAAAAAGTTGAGAATTTTTTATTTTTATAATATTTTCTGATGCATATACATGTACTTATGTTGCGTAGAAAGTTTCAGCTGATTCTGATCAAAATTAAATTTTTTATGAATTTTTAAAGTTGCTCCAAAATCAGGCTTAACACCCTGTACTATAGTAAAGGGACATCAGTCAAATTTTGTCAAAAATAAAAAGTTGAGAATTTTTTTTATCATTTTTTCTGATGCATATACAAGTACATGTACTTATGTTGCATAAAATTTGAGCTGATTTTGATCAAAATTGGATTTTTTACAAATTTTTGAAAGTTGCTACCAAAGACCCCAATCATAATAGAAACAATACTACATGTGCATACCTTTGTGTTCTTTAAGTGCAATCTTCATTTTCTGATTGTTGGCTGAAAATATATCCCATATTCTAACCTGGCCCTCTCCTCCTCCACTTATAATTGACTTACTGTTTGAAGTGACCGACAACGCTGTTACACCCTAAACAGAATGTTTACACAAAAACAACTCTCAGTGACATTAATTCAATAAAGCAGATTGCGTACGTCATATAATACAGGAATTGTACATGAATGCTCATACAATAATTGCTTGCACATATACCACTATGAATGAAACTTTATCATGAGCTAAATCACATGTAATGCAATTTAATATTGTGTTATTCCATGTGACATACTTGTACTATGCACAATTGCACATGCACATGTAAATTATCAAGCATTTGTACACAAAATGAATTTATTTCTACCATACCTTGCTGTGTGCATTGTGAATTGTATAGGCTGGTTTGCCACTCTCGGGCAAAAACACTCTTATTTTTCCATCATCCCAACCTACAAAAAAATAATATTATAATACCTTTTTTCTTAGCTCTCAATCTTTAATTCCTATACTGACCTGTTATGATTCCCTTTCCATCAGGAGTGATCTCCAAAGCATTGCAGAGGAGGTTTGGTATTTGAATGCGGAGGAGCTCTTTGCTAGTGTTGGAATGCCATACCCTAACATCATTGTGACTACTGGTCGCAAACAACTCTGAAGATTCTCTAAAAAAAGAAATAATAGAATAGATATACACACACAATGTATGTGTATTGAAGAGCAGAGAAGGATGAAATTTAATTGATGCAGCAATTAATGTGGAAGAATATTCAATCCCAAAATATTATATAATGTAATAATAGATCTTTATCAATACCTTGGAAAGCATATATCAGTGATGAGGTCTGCATGACAGGATCTGAGGAGCTCATATGTGAAATCATTAAACTGGAACAAGTAGATTTGGGAAACAGACGTTCCAACGAGGAACTGATGACCGCTGCCTCTCACTGCTATGGAAGTGATGGATCCTTCGACTGTTGCAGACTTGAAGCATTTGTAAGTCTTTCCCCTCAAAGCAGCAACAGTTCCATTACCAGTTCCAATAAGGAAATCCCCAGACGGTAGTACTTTCAATACAGATACACCCTGTAAAGACACAGGAGTCAAAAAGGCTACAAAATATTGTCACTATTCAACTTTCTTGCTATCTTTCTCTCTCTCTCTCTCTTAATATAGAAGGTGGTAGCAAGGAAGGAGCCAAAAATATCTTGCAATTTTGGCTCTTTATTACCATTAATATTTCTTAACAACAAATTCTGCATTCTTATTTCCCTCAATGATATGCTCAAGGTTTTTAACTCCTTACCAGGCTGTACTTTTCTTTCTGTGGTCCATATTCTTTCAATAGACACGTGTTCACATTAACCAAAAGAGTGTCACCTGTACTTGTTCCACATAACATACTTGACCCATCGTCACACATCTATATGAAATATGAAACAAGATGGCATCATGAGCATAGTTGTATATAAAAATGGCAACAGATTTATTAAGGAAACACTCTACAGGGCCGAGCCTCAGAGCTCTTTGTTCATTCTTTCATTCATTGTCTCATTCTCAGTTGATAAGGATGGCATGATTCCCCAAAATAGGCTCAAACATGAAAATAATGGATTCGTATCGTACATGCCAGTTTATGTAGGAGTAACTGTTAAGTTAGTACACATGTTTTTATGAATATACGTTACTTAACCTATTTACAGGCATACCTCAATACTATTAATGATACGTTTGAGCTGGCCAAGGTTACAATCTGTTGGTACAACTTTACGAGTCTTCTCTGTCACGCATACCTCCCATACTCGTAACGTGAGGCTATAGGAATTATAATGAGGATCCCGTGTTGTTTATCTATATTCCTTACTCTCCTCCTGTGGCTAGAATGCTATCGGATTTCTTACTAAAAGCAATCGTGTAGACATCTCCGGCGCTTTGCATGGCGGCTTCGTGTCCACAGAGTGCACACTTCTTCTCAAGATCCCAAATAACAAGACTATACAGGGAATGAGACTATAATAAAGGCCTTTTCACACTGGCCAAAGTAATGCGCATTGATGCACATTAATCTTGTTCACACTAGAGTGGTTTCAAATTGATGCGCATCAATGCGCATCACTCTCACTTCACCTGGAGAGGTGGATTGATGTGAAGTGATGCGCTTCGATCAATGTAAACCAATGGCAACAAGAACACAAAATGATACATAATCCAGCTGCTAGTGTGAACACGATCAATGCGCATTATTTCAGCTGTATCAACAAAGCGCTTTGAAAATTGTGCCACCGTGAAAAGGCCTTAAAAGAGAGCATTAATTACATGTCATGCATACCTGTTATCGTCAGTCCCTCCTAGGGTCGCCAGGTATTTATCTGACGGTGAAAAAGCTATCGCCTGCACTTTAACCCGATGGAGGGTGAGTCGACAGTAGATCCTTTCGTCGTCGTCATTGAAACGCCAGACAATAGCGTCAGCTTTGAAACCCATGTGGGTCACCTATTAAACAATATATACATACAGTACATGCAATTCACATACATGTACATGTACATGTATATACATGCATCATTGGAGTATGCTGGACAAATACTATGAGAATTACATGTATACAACATGAAAAGGAAATGTACATGTAGAATCATTTTACAGGTAGATTCACAAGACCATATGTCATTCAAGTGATGTACATGTACATGTACATGTACATGTAATTGACAGTAATTCTTACCTGGCCAGATGCCAAATACTGTCCAGAGGGTGAACAAGCCAAACAGGATATGTAGTTAGAGTGACCGGCGAGGAATTGCTGCTTTTTAGAAGCAAGGTCTTGTATAATGACTGTACTGCCCAGTGGATAGATGATGTGTTCTCCTCCTGGATGTACATGGAGGCCATTAGGCACACGACCTAATCAGGACGGGACATTGGAATTATTGATTCATAAACATGTCTAAATACCATTAAAGCCTATAGTATTGACCATTTCAAGCTGCTCAGAAGTTTTGTCTCCTCCTGCCATCATTTTTGATTGTTTGAATAGCAAAGTTGTCAAGGAGACGAGGCCACGCCCTACTTTTTTGCGTAGGCGGGATTAGGTATTTTAGGCTGGAATTTCAGTATCTGGCAGAGAAGCAAATTGATAATGGATGCAAATTATACCTGCGGTCTTCCACCAGACTTTCCGCCATCACTCAATATTCCTCCTGCTATTAGCTATGTTCAAGCTAGTATTGCTCTCGTGACAGGTATTGTTGGATTACTCTTGAATGCTTTCATATTAATCATCATTATCAAGTATCGCAGTCTTCACCAACGACTCATGTACATTGCAATACAGATTATTGTAGTTGAGATTGCCTATTCCTTACTTGTTCCTCCTGCAATCTTTGTATCTGGTATTGCTAGGGATTGGCTGCTGGGTGAGGCTATGTGCAACATTTTAGGCATCATCAATGATGGATTCGCATATTTCAGATTCATGATGACTTTTATCTTAACCCTTGATCGATTCGTTTCTGTATTCTTTCCATTTGTGTACGAGAGGAACTCAAAGAAGATTCTAATTATTTTACTGATTATGGTGTACTTTACAACTTTTCTGAGAGTCATCCTTCCTCTCAAAGGAGTGATGGGTTGTTACACGTATGTCCCCACCAACAAGATCTGCACTGCATATTCCGACTGTTCAACTGGATGCTATTACTTTGTTCTTGCTAGTGTTGTCACTATAGTCCTCATTGGTGCTATCATCCCATTCTGCATGTACATGATATTATTTTACAAAGCATACAAAGTAAGGAAGATTTCAAGCCAGGCAGTCACTACACACTCTCCTAGTCCAAGTTTCTCATCAATTGCTACTGTACAGGTAAATATGAGTACAATTAAAGGAAGTTTGCCTAGAGGCCGAGAATCAAGCATATGTGAACATGACCTTGAGAAGTCTCGGAAGTCCATTTCAGGAGATGAAAATTTTCAAGTAACACTCACCATGTTCATATTATTGATGAGCGTCATTGGTTGCACCAGTCCTGCCTTTGTTCTCTATATTGTCCAGTTTATTTCGCTCCACAATAATTCGGCTTTTTTTATCGTGATCATGTTGCTAGGGAGGACGTCTTTTAACAGCATACCAATCTTTGATGCTATAGCTATAATGAGGGACAAGCAGTTCAGAAGCTCTGCTAAAACATTTCTTGGTACTCTAAGAAAGTGTATTTAAATTTTTGAAAAGCAAGAAGTGCTATGCAGTTTGTAATTATACACGATCATGTATCTAATAAAAACTTATTGTCTTTCTATGCTTATTATTTTATTACTTTTTTAATATACAAATTTGTGGCAACCTTTTCCTCACATAGATACCTGCTACCACCATAGATATTAGAGTAAAGAAAATACCTATTTACACTAGCCATACCTTGCATGTCTATGAATGCATTAATTGGTATGAACATAATCACATTGATGATCTACTTAACAGTTATCCTGGCCGTATGAGCCAGACTGATAACTTCCTTAATAAAAAGGCTCAATAAATCAGTTAATGCACTGGAGAGAGTTGCTCCTCTGATTTAAGCTGCTCTACAAGAGCTGACATGCTGCTTTGTTGCTGCTCAGTATATTTGTACACTTCTTTCAAGATGCTCTTTCCTTCCTCGCGCATCTATAATCAATAATAAAAGGAGGTACTCTTGATAATAATAATGTGCTGTGGAGTTTGTTTACTTACAGATAAGAATTCAGTTGCTTTAAGAGCGTGTGCTTCAGCTTCAGTATAATGAGTTCTTTTCAAATGATATCTTGCCAAATATAAGTGAGCATTGCCTTCATCTTCTTCGCTAGCTGATGTTACCTGATTGCCTAATCAGTAATGTTTAGTAATCGTTAACGTCACTTACTCTTCCTGCTTCAATCAGAACCAAGTATTTAGAATAGAGTTTTGAAGCTTCTTCTGTCTCATTCAGGCGAATATGTAAACTGTAATTTGTGTAATATATAAAACATACTCTTTTCCTTCACTTACTTTGCAAGTTTCACAATAGCAATTCCTTCGGGTTCTTGTAAAGCAATAGCACGTTTATAACACTAAGAAATACATGAAATAAGTTAATGTCAAGCAAATACACATATCAAGCATGCTAAGTGAGCTAAAACATGCTTCACCTATTCCAAATACATAAATGGCATGTTGTTACTGACTTTCTTAGCAGTATCTGTTTGGTCCAGTGAATCATAACAGTCACCTAACGCATACAGGACACGGCCGTCTGAAGGTCTACATAAAATAATATTAATAGTCAATAAAATTGGCATGGTTCTTTCACACAAGCTAAGTACTTCTTGTCTTAAAGGCAATGATGAAAACTCACTGTAGAGTGTGTGCCATTTTATAGTAAGTAAGTGCAAAGTAAGGCATCTTTAATAGCTCGTAAGTATGTCCCAAGCCATAGCAACTCCTGAAATCATGTTTATTAGTTTCTATAAAACCAACAATAAAACAGATAATGATAGTTTCCCAACACTTTTATCTTCTGTGTAGCTGCTTTTGCTAGAGTCTGCTTCCAGCTGGAATATAGCCATAATCATTTTAACATACCATAAGCTTTAGTGTAGGCATCAATGGCTAGCGTGTGGTTCTTCATTTCCAAATACTCGTGTCCTAATAATATCCATGACGTGTGATTGGTTTTATCAAGTCTAACTGCTCTCTTGAAATAAGCACAGGCTTTCTCATGATCACCGTGAAGGCTGTAGAAATTACCTGCATTTTTGTAAAAGAAAGAATGAATAAGAGAGAGAGAGGATGGAGTGAGGCTTGTACCTATTACAGAGCATGACTCTGGTCTGTATTTGTCAGTTGAATCAACATCAGTTGCCAATTGATACAACTCAGGTAACATCTCCTATCATAAAGAAATTACAGGGTCACTATGGGGACTATGAATGCAGACTATAAATGCAGGGGCAACAATCATTGGTTGTATGTTTTGTGAACATGTACTTTTCTGATTATAGTCTTACCATGACATAAAGGACATGAGAGTATGCATCAATATTAGTGAAATTGTACGGATCATAGTCGTGAACTGTTTTAAAGAGTGTCGCCGATTGAGGAAAATCTATACAGCAATCCATTTACATTATTTCATCATAAAGTGATGTGCATACCTTTAAGTTGATAATAGACCATTGCCAGTTGATTATTAATGTAAGTGCTGCCACTAAACCCAACTGAGCTCAGGTGGTCATAATAAGCAAGAGCATCATTAGCTCTCATTACTTCAAGGGATGCACCAGCTAAGAAAAAATCTTTCATCCAGTGATCAGGAAGTTTTAAACTATTAAGCTGCCCATAAAAATATGCATATTTATATACATTATGATGCTTTTAGTGCAAACCATTGAGCAATACTTACCATATTACTGTCTTCACATAGTTTGTATAGATCCTCCCATGCAGCCCAAATGAGAGGATTAGCAATGCATGCCTTAAACAGTTGAGCCCTAGCATTGTCCTTCATTGAAAGTTCTCGCTCCACAATCCCATACCTTAATAGTAATAATGAAAGTAATAACTAATACTTATCACTTACAGGTAATGTCCAAACCCATCAAGCTTGTCGGCATTTTCCAACTTTCCAAGTTCTTCTTTAATTTGCTGGAGGAAAGGATTAGTTGATTGGTTGCTTAAATCACCTGCACAATGCAAATATTAATAATAATAATCAATGAGTACATCAAACCTAATGATTCAACTTCTTCATCTTCTTTTATTTTCTCACCAGCCTTGATAATAAAAAATAGAATAAAATTAGAAGCACATGTTCATAGTATCACTTAACAAGTCACTCACATGCACTCGTTAGCTAGTAGACACCTACCAGATAGAGTGAATATAATTTTAAGAAAGTCCCTTCAACAGATTTAGAGTCTCTCAGTGCATGAGCTGCTCTCCTGTACTCCCTCAAATCATAGAGTGCCTTACCATAACTGTATGCATTGAATTCATCGTAATAGCCACTTGAATGCTCCAACTGTACTATACTCTCCAATGGAGCTTCAATAGACTGAGCCAACTCTGCAGCCCTTCAATAAAGAGAAAAGGAGAGAAAGAGGGAGTGGTGTGTAAGACTTGAGAACACGTGGTCTCTCTTACCAGGCAGCACTGTACAAGAGTCCTCTGTGCGAGCACTGAAGGTAAGAAAGTGTTAAGAGACGTTTTAGTTCTTGTAATGATTTCAATTCGATACCAACTCCAGCAGTACCAGAAGAGCTGTCAGCCATGATTGTTTAATACTTTAGGTGTGGCTAGTCATCAATGGCTGAACTACCTGATCAGGAAGAATCAGATGAAATTCATCCTAAACCCCTTCCTCTTAATAATAAAGAGTTATGGTTGATCTCTTTACCTTTTGAAGTATAAGATAATCATTATAGTCAATATATTATGTCTGTTAACAGATTGAGCCGAGGACTTTGTCTGGAAAAAAATTCCAACTGGGGTCTTCTTTAGTAAAAAGCAAATGCAAGAATCAAAAACTAAAGATAAATGATGTAAGAAATACATTGCATCAATACCTATTTTAAAATTATTTACTAGAAATCATTTCGCGTTGAAGTAATGCACCAGCCGTCAACGGTATGATAAAATCTATACCAAGTACTTGTGGTAACAGTTATATATACTTGTTATACAGAACAGTTCAAGTAAAGTGACTCCTATACTACCAGCAGGGAAATCAGGAAAACTTTCATTTCACAAAATAATGTGAATGAAATATGTCTGTCTGTTGCTGTAACAATTTATGCTTTAGGGGTGAGATTGTATTAAGAAGAGAACCAAAGATTAATGATCACGTCACAGCAATAGAGCCACCAGCAATGAAGAAACAAAAAATAGACGAAGACATAGATGAGCAATGGACACATTTAAAACAGAGATGGAAGCCATTTGGATGGAGTAAGAGATTTGCACCATAATGCTATAGAGATTAATAATAATTATAGTTGTCAGTATTAAAAATTTATGCTTGCACCTAGTCACCTATTACCATTGTGAATTGATTTTTATAGAAACACCATCAGTAAAAGGTACTGCAAAGGATAAAGTATGTTTCAGTATTTCTCACATGTCAAATTATCCTTCTACAATAGAAGAAAAAGAAAAGGACAAAAGCTGATTAAGATCTAAACTTATTTTTTTAATGTATCATTAATCTATCTGTGTCAATAAAGATTGTTTTAGTGATTCGCATATCATGATTATAAAGAATGAAAAAAATCAACAGTGATAAATAAAGCATGAGTAGGTTATGTAAATTGAAGAGTAGTACTATTGACTACTGAAACCATTCATTAAAGTTAACAGAAGTAGTGCTATCTCTTCCTTAATAAAAGGCGGAGGAGTAAGTCCAGTAGAAGTACATGATTTGCTGGGTTCCATGCTGTCAGTCTTGTCACTACTCTCTTCTCCCATTAAGAACTTTGAAGCTATTCTCACCAACAAACCAGCAGCTTCTTCTAAAGGCAATCTACAAAGATAATAATGAAGGCATCATTACTATTAAATATACTATCATACGATGTATGTATCCATGAAAGAAGATTCAAATTCCAGCAAGAGTCTTGCAAAGCACAGTCATTATCCACTATGCCACTCATGAGTCTATTAACTATCATTGACTAATGTACATACAACACAGAAGAGATTTGTAATATTAATAATGAAAACAGCTTTCATACTTTACTCCTTTCATCAAGTAATGGTGAGTTATACAGTGCCATTAGGTAAGAGAGAACAGAGTGTTTGCGGTAAATCTGATAGTCACTTGAACACTTTAAGCCATCACAAAGTAACTCAATAACCCAACTACGCTCCTAACAATGATAATCATACTAATGACACTATCATAGGTACAGTTATACTTCATCTTTAGTAGTGTGGACTAATGCCGAATATAAAGGAATGTCTTTGGAGTCGAGGAACGGTTTCTTGATCATGTAATCAGCAACCATAGGGAACATTGGCTCTTCTGTAGTTTACACAAAATAAATGTGCACTCATTGTAAACACTACTAAACAGAGATGCATTAACCTGTATGCACAAACAAGGATACTGCCTTGGCAAAGAATGATGATGTTAGAACTGATAGTCTAGCATTAACCTCAGGAACAGAATTACAGAGAATCTCCATTAAAGCCATTATCTGAAATAAATATGACAATAATATTGAGTGATATTTGCATTATAAAAACAAGGCGAGTGAATCTCTTACCAGAGATCTTTCGGTAAACCTATTACTGTTCATGAGATGATGATTAAAGAGTGAGAGGTTGTAATAGGCAGCTCTCCTCATGTGCTGGCATGTGGAGCTAGTGGCAGTGATAACAAATGACAGCAAACCTCTTTTAATGAACGACGAGCAGTTGAACACTGATGAGGCTAAATATAAGAGTAAGAATAGACAAGAGAGAATATTGAATTAAATATATGCATGTATACATAAGCTTGGTATAATGTATTCACTCACTTGAAGAGAGTAACACACTAAAGATGGGAAGGAGGAAGCAAGGATCATAAGCATATTCATTTATAGTGGCTGGCATTGATCCTGTATTTTGGTAAGGATTGACTGGCTACAGATGACCGTAAAAGGAGCAGAAAATAATGAAAATCCATTTATTAATCTTTTACTTGTAATGCTCTATCATAAGGAAATGACTGGATTGATTGGAGCATTCTCCTCTCGTTAAACATTGACAAAACTTCGTGATCAGTGGGTTTCTCCCAGTGGTTTCTTTCGTACAATTCGTGTAAGTGAAGAGCCCTTTCACCCCACAAGAATGGACTAATAAAGTAAAATAAGATTAAACGATAGTTTTAAAAAGGCATAATAGCATCAAAATATGTAATACACACTAAATACAGGGTCTTTGAGCAAATTTTGCTAAAAATGACTAGGAGAGAATTCTTCATTTTTATAATTTTTTCTGATACATAATATACATATACTTATGTTGCGTAGAAAGTTTGAGCTGATTCCGATCAAGTTTAGATTTTTTATGAATTTTTAAAGTTGCTCCAAAATCAAGCAAAAGTCCCTGTACTATAGTACATGATCTCAAGCCAAATTTTGCCAAAAATGACTAAGTGAGAATCCACCATTTTTATATTTTTTTCAGATACACATACATGTTCTTATGTCGTGTAGAAAGTTTGAGCTGATTCCGATCAAGTTTAGATTTTTTATGAATTTTTAAAGTTGCTAAAAATCAAGTCAATTTGTGACAATGGCAAATGGGTTTTTGCTTGTCACGGATTTCGTGACAATTGAACAAATGGGTTTTTGCTTGTCACGGATTTCGTGACAATTGAACAAATGGGTTTTTGCTTGTCATGGATTTCGTGACAATGGAACAAATGGGTTTTTGCTTGTCACGGATTTCGTGACAATGGAACTAATGGGTTTTTAATGGAATTTTGCTTGTCACAAAAATTGATAAATCTCACTACTCACATTTGACTTGATATAGATACCCCTAACTTCTCATAACACAACATCAAGTAAAGTATAGCCGTATCTATGAGCAAATGAACACTTGACAAACCAAGGGCATCATTTACCAGTAACACTGAGAGTCGCTGTATAATTACACACTAAAATATTCAACTGGCTATGAGTAAAAAGGTCAGGATGACCAGTGTTGTCTTCAATGATGTTGTCAGCAATAGCTACCAAGAGTTTAATTGTACCACCTACACAAGAAAAAGTAAAAGGAAACATTCATCTTCACTAATAATAGAACATCTTCAATAATAGAATTAAATAATCATATAAATGCATTTATTGTACTTACTATTAAGTGGTGCTCCAAGCTGTTGCAATGACCAAACAGTCTGATGTATAGAGGGGACACTAACAGCAGGTCTAGCTACATCTAGTTTTGACTTTATGTGAATGAATGAAAAGAGATAGCTTAATAACTCCATTACTAGCTCGTCAGACTTTCCATGCCTTCTATAATAAGAAAAAAATTATTGTCAAGAGATTAAGTTTTAAAAATAATAATTATTAAGCAAGTGCGATAATTGAAGTAATTACTCTATAAACTTAATGACAATCTTGTCCCAAAGATGAACAATTTCCGTGTATACATCAACAGTGGTTGTCAGCCAATCATCATCACTAGGCCCATTCTAAAATAAAAAGAAAAAATATTCAACTATTTATAATACACTACATACAATATGTACCTTCAATGCCATGGACAAAGCATTTGTAAGCAGAGATAACCTCTCCTCATAGTCTTTAGTAGAACTGGGTTTCCTCTTTAATATGTGTCTCAGCTCTTTCAGTAAACACTTGAGTAGGTCCAAAAACATTTCCCTGCCTAAGGAATGTCCAATATAAGGTAAGACGCAACCAATCACTTTGATGTGAAAACTACAAAAAAATAACATCAACAAAAATTATATAATTGATAAAGCTTCACTTTGGGACGTTAGTTGAAAACTTGACTAATATTCTATATAGCAACCTACAGAGATGCTTCTTTACTGTAAAAAAGAAAAAAACGAAGTTATGATACACAGACAGTCTGGCCATTACTAACCTTTGGGAGATATAGAGACACATAATTTAATAGATTCAAGACATGCATTAGCCAGTTCACCCTAACAGTAAAAAATAAAATGTGACCAGGCTTAAAACACCAAACCTCAGACTCGGTGCAATTTAAAACAATGTCTCTGAATATTGGAGCAATATTGGTGAATATGTGATAGAAAGAAAGTACTACATAAAAAGAATTGTAATAAAATAACTAGTAAAAATGAGTATTGCATGCATGTAATACCTTGATCATGGTTTCTTAATAAAACTACTTTTGAAAGATTAAGAAATTCCATCGAGACATCAACAGGCATTACTTTGTGGTGGAAGAGGTACATATGCACTATAAAGAATGGGAGAGAAATAGTTTAAAGATTATACCACCACATACCTGATGTACAAAAACTAACAAACTCATTGTTAATATCTTCAATGAAGCAAAACCTAGTTAGCACTGACATAATCTTCATTTTCTGTACTGAAACAGATCCAGAACAATACATCCATAATCTCTTGATAATATCCTTATTGAAATGCAAACAAGAGTTATCATCGCAAGGAAGAGATGCACTCAAATCGTTAAATAAAGAGCTGTTGTACTGAGACTGAGGACTAGTGGCTGATGCCTCTCTTAACTGATCAGCCAAAGGCAATAAAAGCTGCAAGCTTGATGATTTAAGATCTTGATCAATACAAGAATTAGAGGAAGCAACCGAATGTCCTTGAGTAAGAGTAGTGTCTAAGTCATCAGTCAATTCTTTACTATCCTGAGTATCAGTATGGAGTGTTCCATGGTGTTTAGTGCATGGTCTCTTACTGTGTTCAATGACTGACAATAGATAAGACAAGAATAACTCATCAATGAAGTCAGAATTGATGTCGATTGCCAAACAAGCGTAAGAGTTCAATACAAAGGAAGAGGATTCATCAGCACTAGTGGTCTTCAAATGTATGCTTGCAATGTCTGTTAAGTGAGAATTGATGAGGAACCTCAGCTTTCTGTTGCAATAAACACGAGAAATGAACTTTAAAAAATATTCAACACAAAACGTGGATACTTTTCGCATCTAAAAATGCAAAAGAAAGTCCATTATACACATACAGTACGAAATCTATTATTGTAGGCATTGGAACTCACTGATTTGCTTGAGGGATAAGTTGAGGCTAGCCTTACAAGTGATAGGAGTTGCTTGCTGATAAAAATAAACTGGGTAGAAGATTTAGGCTCAATTTTCAATTCTTTTTGACAAATAGGATTAGAAATGGGACTGTTCTTTAGTAAAGCCTTGATACTGCATGTAGTTGAACTGGTACACAGGCACTGCAACCATAGGATATTGCTTGTATGCCGTATGCCTAATTCCTTTTGTAAAAGCTCGTATATGCCTATAAAAAGTGTAATGATTAAAAGTACCCATAACAAAGAATTTAATTCAATAATAAGACACATTAAAAACACATATTATAGTTTTCCTTTACCAGGTGTAGTAGCAATAATGGGAAGAGAGAGAGGTATAACGGATAACAAAGAGACAGTGACAGACAAGAGAGGCGTGTCCTTCAACAGATTAACGAGTCCTTTGTCACCAGTAGACTCCACCAACTGTTGAAATACACACTCTCTCATTAAAACTTGATCAGATGATGCACCTTTTTTAAAGTACACCTTCTTATTGTACCATTTAAACTCAAGAGGATCCTACAAAGCAAAACAAAATTATACAAAAATCATTAAAAAATAATCATTCATATCACGTGCCTTTTCAGAATGACTTGACCACACCCACAAATGAGAGTGAAGCAATTGTAGGTAATTATGAATAGGACTATACAAGTACAAAAACGATAATAATATTAATAATGAAGGGGCTTACCCTTTTGTACTATACTGTAGTAAAGTATCTCTTAGTCTGTTCAGTACAGTATTTGCAGCTAATACTGGATCATATGATGAATGGACCAACTTCAGTATCATATCAGATAATAACAGCACCCTTGACACTGAGAAAAAAAACAAGAAAAAGTTTGTTGTTAGAAAAATAAATACATAAGGAATGAAGTACAATTGATCATACGTTTTAAGATCGTGACCTCAAATCAGATATTATATTTATAATGTCAACAATACAAGAGACATATTGCCTCTCATTTCTGGTTGTCGATCTTATTAAATCATCATTTTAGGTCAATCACAAAATAATAATAATAATAATTATTATACCTTTGGGTGCTCTGCCACAATTATCAATAAAAGAAAAAAGCAACGGACACAAACTAAATAAGTAAAAAAAAATTAAAAGAGACCCATCAGAACATAAAACAGTGTACCTGCTTGAACAATCCGTAACGCCTACATAAAATATACGTGATTAACAAACACATAAGTAAATTATCCTACTTTCATCGGATGTATCTTGCTTGGACCAATATTTCAGAGAAGACTGCTTTAATATTTCAGTAACAGAATGGACGATAAAATCAACTAACTCCTCCTTCTCATTATCCGAATATAGCACCAGTTTGTCAAGGTGAGTATCAATAATGTTAAATATCAGCAAGAGGTCGGATTTGTAATCCAGCAGACAAGGATTGGTCTGCATGCACTAGAAGGATCCAATGATAATGATAGCACTAATCCTTGACAAGTCTTACCTTTACAAATACATGAGAAGCCTCATCAAATAGTTCACTATCCTTTGATAATTGAAATAAAGATTTAATATCTGTCCCCTAGAGAAGAGATAAAAGGATACACATGCATAATTGAATGAGTAAATCAAAAGCCGCATATACCATAAATAATAAATAAAATTATCACAGCCTGACGGTGACACAGAAAATAGGATTCATATACACCAACACAATAATACAACAGAGAATTCATGACCACAACATATGTACAGATATAACTCTCAGCAGAGCAAAGCTAGCACTATAAATTTTTAATAGTTGGGAGACTAGCCTAAGAGAAACAAGATGACACTCTTCTTCAGACCAAGGCCAGTCCATGCTGCAACTATAGCTGCTGTGGTTGTCCTCGACATCATAAGCACTGCCCTCTCCTGGGTATATGTCTCATTCTACACTGAGAACATTCTACTCTCTTACACTGGAGCTGGGCTAGCTACGTTCCAGCTAGTCATTGTCCTAATATGGGGGCTAGCATACATCTATTGCTCAAGAGGGGCAAGGGACCAAGACTTGTGGCTGCTTGACGAAGATGACGAGATTCAACAAAGCAGATGTCAAAAGTGTTGTGGCTGTGTGGGATGGCACATGAAGATACACATAGTACCAGTAACAGCAGCAGTGATGTTAATGGGCTCTGCTGTACTGTTAGGGATTGGAGTAATAAATGGAATGAGTGATGATGATAATGATGATGATAATGACAAGGACAGCAAAGGAAAGGAGGAGACAGCCCTTTTGGCAGTGGGCATGCTCTGTCTGACAGGGATAAGTCTGATTGGATCTATATTGGTCTATTTCTTAGCTAAACACGCTGCAGCACAAACGCTCCAGAGATGGTGGGTGGCCCGGAAGAGAAGAAAGGAGAGGTTACAGAGGATGATAGAGCGCAAGGAGGAACAAGAGAAACTCCTTCAAAAAGAAACTTTCTACTCATTTTCATCTTAACGCAAACATTTATGCTTCTTTTTAAAACTTTTATTTCATCATTAAATAAAGTGATAAAATATAATAAAATTCCCTAGCATGTGAAAGGCATGCCCACAGTCCAGCCAGTAGTGAATTCATGAGGTATGAATATCAGCACTGATAATAAGAGCAACAAAGACACATTGTGTTCAATTCACAGACTGGCATAGGATGATGTGCAAGCTTGCAAGTAACACTGGATGGAGAGAGGATGAGTCCATTATTCATAGTAAAAGGCTATAGCCTAATCAATTTTAAGGGACTACATGTATCTTCTTGATGCTATAGAATAGACTTTAACTCCTCACACAAAAACACTATAAACAATAGGCCAAGTTAATAGAAAGCGATTCACAGGTAATAAAAAATATTAAGTGAAAACGAGTGAAACAAATGCATGGTCATTACATACACACTGGCCATGCACTCATAAGCATTTTACCAATGCTAAAGTAACATAGCTGTTACTAATGTATGCAAACAAAGATGTTTGTTTAACTTGACACCAATAACAATTTTAAATACAGTTTGAATATGTTTACTGTTAAAAGCAAGCATGATATCCCACACAGAATCACCACAAGTTCATGTCAGTGTCACATGTCAAATCACATGCCTATGAATATCATTAAAGCAATCCACACAAGATGGAGCCAAGAAGCATACTGACTCTCCTAGTTTACTACATATCAAGGATCTTGATCATCTTAGGACTCACCTCTACCTGTGCCCTGTTATACTATTTCAATAAAGACATTGGGCTAATCATACTCCTTGCTACGATTGTACTCGTGATTGCTTCATTGGGCTTCACAATTGGAAATATGATCTTTCTCAGTATCCTCTACATAAGAGAGAAGTCTCTAGATGAAGAAACGAGTAAGAAAGTCAGCTCAGTCCCTAGTCTAATCACTATTGAGATATTCCTACTGTTCATGATTGAAGTCCTTCATGCGCTACTCATTAATACTATAAAGGACAGCATGGCTCATTTCCATTGGAACTTCCCCATAGTGCTCTCTAGTGTCACCATTGTGCTCATACTACTAGGAATTACATTCATTTTCATGGCAATAGCTGCATATTTCTGTGATAGATCCACCACCACTAGAAGAGAAGCTATGACAGCTTACGCTCCTGATGAGGAATCATCTTTATTATCTCTCAGCTCAGCAGCCAGGTCTAGCAACATACAATAAACTGCCCTAATGACAATTGCGCAACTGTTATTCTCAAAGGATTAATTGTTTTTGTTAGCTGAACAAATTGTCTTTTATATTATATATACATGTCTTATTGTGTGCTTCTATTTAATTTCTTTTCTATTAATAATAATAATAATAATAATAATAATCATCATCATCATTAAATGCCTTTTCCTTTAGCTTTCCATCTTCAACCCAAAGCACACAACATATCAAATGGTCATTAACTTATCACAACTACCACCTCTTTAATTATCAAGTACAAATACATGCATATTCTATTACTATATGTGGCATGGAAAATCACCCTTCACTCTATAGACTTAAGATCACTTGTTTCAGATCACGCGCCACTATTATAAAGTGATGATTAATATCAACAGAAACAACATGCATAGGAGAAAAAGATACACAATATATGCAAAATTACACATGTACAACGCTTGCATATACTAACAATAAAAATACACAAACCTTCACTGAATTGCGAAGCATTTCCACTGGAGCATTCGATATAAGCCTCAATGTTTCAAGGACAGTCAAATCCCCCTTGCTATGCGGAAGTGGCATCAAGTCAGATAGTAATTTCATAACGTTGATCTGTGATTGAGCTAATATTGTAGGAACAAAGACTTGATAATGCTCTAGGACAGATGTGAGACTCTCAAGCAGGCTTGATGACCTCTTGAGCTCTACAGATAAGAAATAAATAAAGATATACATAAACAATAACATGGTTCAAATAAAGATAAGGAGCTTAGATCAAGAGCTTATAAAAAATTGCTATCATCATGCAACTAGAAAAAGGACAGTTCCAGGCTTCAGCCATGAATGGCTTCACTGAATCCACAACAACAGACCAAGGTAGACATGTGGCCAGTCAAAAAATGATAAGCAACCACATGATTAAAAAGGAAGAAACAGAATTATTATACATAATAATAATAAGACAGTTATGTACACATGATTCATAATATCAGTAGCGTGTATTTACTTTCATTCTTCATCATCACTACAGGCTCATCAGGTGGTATATTAGTATCCCCTGTTCTTTTAATGGCCGACTTATCGTTGGCGAGTTGTAGGGCCACATGACGAACACTCATTAGCGTCTTGACATTGGGTAGTCTGGAAAAGACAGCATCGCAGTATTGAAGCCACTTATCAGAATCAACTACTTTCCACTGATCTAATACATTAAAAAAAACTTTATGTAGCTAAAGAATAATTTTGAAAGTAAGTACTACAAACTAGTTTTGTTAAAGAGATAACTAAAAATATCATCATAATCTTCATGACGTTAAGCCATTGTAACTAAGGATACTTTCTGATGACAATATAAGCCCTCATATACTCTTGACTACAATGTGTACAATTCTTACATCCTCCGTAATGCGAGATTCTATCACAAACACGAGAGACCATTTTCAAACATTTTGATTTGACCAATAGACAAGGATTCTAAAAATAAAATTTTAAAAATAATTTTAAAAGTGACGCTTGTAAACTGGGTTTTAACTATCGTACAAAATAATAGAGCTCTCAGTGTAACTATGACAATTATCCAATCACTGATACAGTATAACGATTAATACAATCTCTGTAACTGTATTCATTAACTGTACATTGTTCATCATTGCTCTTGTATTGAAATGTATTGTGCATCATTATGTATTGATGTCCATTTTTATATTTTTTTCTTGACACATATACATGTACTTATGTTGTGTAGAAAGTTTTGAGCTAGTTCCGATCAAAATCAAATTTTTATGAATTTAAAAGTTGCTCAATAATCGAGCAAAAGTCCCTGTACTATAGTACAGGTCTTTGGCCAAATTTCATCAAAAATGACTAGGAGAGAATTCTCCATTTTTATAATTTTTTCTGATAAATACACATGTTTCTATGTTTGCGTAGAAAATTTGAGCTGACTTTGATCAAGTTTGAATTTTTTTATCAATTTTTAAAGTTGGTCCAAAATCGGACCAAAGTCCCTGTACTATAGTAAGGAGATTTGGGCCAAAAATCACCAAAAATAAAAAGTACAGAATGTTCCATTTTTATAATTTTTTCTTACACACATACATGTTCTTAGGTTGCGTAGAAAGTTTGAACTGGTTTCGATAAAATTTAGATTTTTTATAAATTTTTAAAAGTTGTGAACCAAAGTCATTGTAGTACAGAGACTCTGGCCAAATTTCGTCAAAAATGATAAGAGAATTCTCTATTCCATTACATTCTCTGATGCATATGCAATTATGCATGTTCTTTCATTGCACGGATTATCCAATCAAATTCAGGATTTTTACAGCAATAGGTTTAAATAATAATTGCAACGACCTCATAGGCACATACAACTGTATTTAATAAGAGGGAGAGAAAGAGCTCAGTGTAACTATGACAATTATCCAATCACTGATACAGTATAACGATTAATACAATCTCTGTAACTGTATTCATTAACTGTACATTGTTCATCATCGCTCTTATGTGTATTTACATTATAACTTATTAAAAGATGCAGCCAAAATAAAGGACAGACCTGAATCCCATTACTCAGTAGAGAGCGAGTGAGAACTGGAGGACAAACAAAAGACACAAAAGCATCAATTGAGATCGAAAAAGGCTTTAAGTCAAGTGGATATAAAATACCCAGTAACTGAAAAAGAGAGAGATAGAGAAAACACAAATGAGATGAATTACAAATTAAAAATAATCAATCATTACTGGACAAACAACACTGTCCATGTACGTGTATAAAACATGCACTCACTGAATTGACTACTTTGATTTGATTCAGCCACTTTAAAGTTGGTTTAGGGTCCAGCTCCAGTGGAGCAGCAGTGAAGAAAGGATACCAAAGATCAGGAGACTCTGATATTATTCTATACAAGATAATATGGACCTTTGGCTCATTTAAACAAGACAACAGTGACAGGCCCAGCTGAAGCAATACAGGGTTATTCGTCCTAAAATAGTTCAAAAATAAAATGTTATCTTGCAGAAATGTAACTAACAAAATATATAATATTATGCTAGGTATAAGTACAAAAAAATTATGACAATCTTTCCTAACTTGTAAAGATTTTGAAAGACACTTGCTGATGGAAATGCAACACCGAAACTTGAGTCGCAGAGACCAAAACATATATCGAGTATAATCGTTTTCACGGATTCATCTTGATCCTCTTTCTGCAGGAGTTGGACAATTCTCTTAATATTGGTCCTGTCAAAAAGTAACAGTTTATCCTTCTTGGCAATGTTTGTCCTCATTAAAACCTAAGACATTACAATAATAACAAAATGTTGAACTAAGTAAGCACTTTATCGTAGAGGGTCTGAAGAAAAAGTCCGACAATACTTGGAGGATCACTGGACAGTTTACGAAATATGATAGGCAAAAGTTCTAAAATATAAAGGAGAGAATAGACAAACAAGGAAAAGAGAAAAGGAGAATGATGTAAAATGACATAATAATACAAACATACTCTTTAATGATAGTATTTTAGCTATGACTCTGACATCGCTAACGACAAGGAAGGACAATGCAAACTTGATGAAACAAACTCTCACGGAATCCCCATCTTTCTAAATAATAATAATAATATCAAAAATACATATTACATATCAACATGCACAACTCCTCACTTGGAATTCTTTATCACGCTCAACCAATCCAACAAGACGTGCAGAACCAAAATTAAAAGTGTCTAAAATCTCCAAAACAGACTCCTTCCCTTGCATAACAGACACAGTGAGAAGTTTGAGGGCGGTAGCTGAGAGCTTGTCCGGCTTGTTGCTTGAGAGCGAATTGTTGATAGTATACATGTGCTCCTGGAGGAGTGTTGTAACCAATCTCCTTCCTAATGATGAGTAGCTTGCCCTAGCAGGAGGCAGCTTATCAGATGCAGTGAAGAATAGCACATGCTCCAGTAATAAGTAACACAACAAGATCTAAAAAGATAAGAGACAGACACTATGATAACAGATTGGGTAACAATGGAGACGCCATGTCTACATGTATATGTACATGCAGACATGTATATCTACATGTGCAAGGACTACAAGCCCCATATATGGAGTTGAACATAATAACCGAACAAGCAAAAATCATGGCTATGATGGTAATCATCATTTCAAGAAATGAAGGTAAAAAGATCAAAATGATGTAACGCTACAACTTGTGGAGTGCATATAAATTAAGGTTCACAATGTTACAGACTTACATTGTCTTGATCATGAAGTTTAGTTGATAGCTGCATTAAGAGGAAGACATGACTACAGTCGGGATGAGCACCTAAATAGCTTGTTAATAAGTCACTATTACTGCCTTCAGTGATTTCCTTGAAGAGATACACTAAACCTAAAAACACAAATAATTATAATTTTTTGAACAGTAAAAAGCAACCATACCGGCTGCTACAGTGTCCTCTTTGCTAAGTAGCTTTGTGAGTTTGTCCATTGGAAGCTCCGTAGTTATGGCCTTCCGTTTCTTTCTTGGTTTCTGATCTAAAAGGGACAAGTCTTCTCCTTCTCGCTTCAGTGACGCCATGCTGGACAACGTGATGTGACTACTGAGCATGCGCAATAGATTATGGGAGTGTCTTGTGTAATGTGTTGCACCCACGCAATTGATTACTATTTTTATAATGACATTAATGAGTCAGGTGAGAAACATCAGTTCCAATTACTCTCATATTTCCAGTCATATGTTTGTAGAGTGATGTGAGCTTTGTGACTGATTATAATCACCTAATGGCAGCAGTCTAGACCACCAACCCATGCTTATGCATTTGTAAGTCAGTGGTAAATCTTTAGCTTTTAAAAAACTTTCTTGCAAAATAGCAAGTAGCTATGGACTATTAAAATTAAAGCCTGTGCATAGAATATACAAACAAAACACGCCTTCACTTTGTATTACAAAAGGGCGTGACATGCAATGAATAATTGCATTTTTGCAAATTGCCCTTGCAAAATGGCTCAAGTACAAGCTGGAGTTAGATCTATGATAATGCTACTCCTAGTGCTGGTTACTGTCTTTTCAGTGTCTGGTCAGCCAAGTTCACCAGCCAAAAAGCCTTCAACGTCGGTGGTAACTAATTCTACAGCAGTTGAGCCTACAGCAGTCCAAACATCTCCAGCTCCAACTTCATCATCATCATATTTTGTTGAAACCTCAACATTCTTTCTATCATCCACTCCTACTGGCACTCCTGCTCCAGGTAAGATTAAATTCGTCAGTTACACTATCGAGCAAAGCGGTAATTGTTTTTTAGAATGTCCTAGTCAAATGGATCCAATTTGGAGATTGCCTTGGCCTAGGACAGCTCGAAACACTACTGCAGTCATTCCTTGTCCACCACACTTACATGGTACTAGATCTATTCCTTGAAATTTTATTAAAGTAATTACATATAAGGTCATGCTCGAAGACGTTGCACTATTTTTGGTTTCTGGAAACTACCAAATGTGAGTAATTGTTATGGCGGCAGCATTGGGAATGTTGGGTTACAGGTAAGCAGAACGCATACCGGTATCTAATTTCTATCAATCTACACTAATACATTAAATAAAGTATGATCTTTGCACTAATAGCTTTACTCATATTGCTGTTGTTTTGACTGAATTATTTCCTAAAGTGTGCATTAAATGAGCCCTCATTCATTATAATTATACATCTATGCATCTTCTACAACATACATAATACAGGCAGTTAGCTTTTATCTTTTTGATCATTACGATTGTGATTTTAGGCTGGTAGCTTTTTTGGCAATAACAACCAGACTGATGTTGATGGTGCTTTATACTTGGTTAACCAATTGAACAACTTGACACGGCCAAGGATGCCAATTCCTCCTGATGAACTAAACACACTCAATTATGTTGTTGGGCAAACAGTAGCTTTACTGAGGCGGCAAGGAGGCCCAGGAGCAAGCCAAGCAATGGTAATCAATACTTTAAAATAATGTCTATAAATGCATGTAATAGGATTTGTTTGATGCATTTAATAATGTACTTGATCGTAATAATTCAGCTGGATGGCGGGAATTACAGCAGTCTCAGTCAAGCAGTGAAGAATTGCTAAGCAATGCTGAGGAGTATGCTTTATACATAGCATCAACTATTAATGGAACTGATGATACGACTGTATTTTCAGCAGAAAATTTAGGTATTAATCAAAATATTATACATAGTAGATACTGATTAATGTTTAATCATAGTTTTACGTGCAAGGAAATTTTCCAGAAGTCGTTTCAAAAAGTTCTCTAATAGCAGATTTCCTAACAAATCTGATTTAGTAAATTCTTCAGTATCTGATATAACCAACAGCATAACGATACCAGCTGATTATTTAGAAGCAAGAGCTAACGATTCCGATGATGGTCAGTACAAAATTTAGTCATTCAATCCACAATCTAAAATGTATTATTAGGTGATGTTAGTGTAGCTTATATGCTCTTTCCGTCAATACAAGATTTTTTACCGAGTGATGAAAAGTTAGTCCAAATGATGGTACATACTTTTTGTTATACTCCGGATTGTAGCTATAGCATTCCAAGTGTAGTACTGTCAGCTCAAGTCATTACTTCTGATGAAGATCTAACTGGAGATATAGAGACAGAATCTGTGCTATTGGAGTCACCCATCGAGATCACCTTTTCATTGGATTTGGATGTATGTTACAAATAAATGTACTCACAAATTAATTTTTCTCTTGAAGATTGATTACAATGAAGACAATGAATCTTTAGTTTTTAATTGTGTCTATTGGAACTTCTCATCAGATTTCAAGTAAATAAATGATTTTGATGCTAATAGCTGTTTTGATACAATTATATGCAGTACTACAGCAAGCAGTAGATGGGAGTCAGAAGGTATAGACACTTCGTTTGCAAATGAATCATTTGTCAGGTGCTTGAGTTCTCATTTGACTAATTTTGCTGTGTTAGTGAGTGTTGTTGATAAAGAAAGTACCACAACTATTGTTACTAATGGGACTGATGCTACTGAAACTCCAACTGAACTAGAAGATCATCTTTTATCAGTATTTTCATACATTGGGTGCTCTGTTTCAATCATGTGTCTTCTAGCAACCATTGTTTGTTTACTGACACTAAAGTAGGAATTTATTATTATTATTATTATTATTATTATTATTATTGTTATTAATTGTCATACTTCCATAATAGGAAAGGTTTATTTGAAAAGCCAGTCAATTTTATACACCTGAACCTCTCAATAGCATTACTATTAGCACTAATCCTGTTTGTTGGTGGAGTTGAAACAGCAGTGAATATACCAGTAAGATGTTAATTTATTTTCATTTAATGATTCACTGATATGTATAGGAACTATGTAAAACGATAGCTGTTCTTGCACATTACTTCTTTCTCTCTGCATTCTCATGGATGCTTTGTGAAGCAATTATGCTCTACTTACTTCTTGTGGTTGTTTTCAGTCGACTTATCAAGATGTGGTACATATTTCTTATACTGGGATGGGGATTACCAATAATACCAGTTGCTGTTACGCTTGGAGTGAGATTTGATGAATACACATCAGAACATCTGTAAGATTGTATTAATCAATTACAATATTTAACACTGTATAGTTGTTGGCTTAATACAAAGCATGGTATCATATGGAGTTTTGTGGGACCAATTCTAGCAGTAATCTGTGTACGTTGATGCATCCTGTATTGATGTTGCTTTATAATGATTGTTATTGTTACAGATTAATACTGTTATCCTGGTAATTGTTCTTGTTCAAATAGCAAGATCAATGCATGCTAAGAAACGTAGAAAAACAATAACTAAAAGATTTAATAATGAACCAGAGAAGAAAAATCACTCTGAAGCATTGTATGTTTTATTATTTTACTATTGCATAATTGTTATTATAATTTGTATAGTAAAATTGCAAAAGGAATGATAGTTCTTTTACCTTTGCTTGGTTCAACGTGGATCATTGGAATATTCTTTGTCAGTGAAAATACTACAGTATTTGCATGGCTTTTTGTGATATTTAATTCTCTTCAAGTTAGTAATGTACAGTCTGCATTAGTAATGTTAGAGTTATTTTGATAGGGAGCATTCATCTTTTTCTTTCATGTTGCAAGTGGGCCATTGGTAAGATAATGTTAACTATCTCTATTGTGTGATTACTGTGAGCAGGTATGGGGTAGGATTCAGAAAAGACTCAAACAGAAAAAGAGAGAAAGAGAGTCCTCCATGTATACAACTGTAAGACACACTGTGTACTGAGTGCTGTGCTATGAATCTCTTGTTTTTGTAGAAGACACATTTACCTACCAAAGTCTCTACTATGAGTATGACAACAGAAAACACTGTATTGTAAATTTCATTTTATTTCATGCTGTTGTATTGTATTTTTATTCCCTTCACAATTTTAACAAATACAATATTTATTCCATGGACATGTATGCATAAGGGGATAAAGTCTATGATAATGTTGCAACAAGGTTTGTCACTGCAACTGCTACTTGTCATAGTATACTGTCCTTTCGGTGTTTGGTTAGCTTTCCTCCACACCACCAATTTCAAGCTAATCTGTGTAAATCTGTGTTTGTTGATGAACCCTGTTTCATCAGCAGTGGTAATTCAACAGTGGGGCGTGTCACGTGTGCTATTTTAACCCCGCCCTTAAGTTAAAAATGACAGACGAAAAAGAGAAGGTCAAAAGATTAAGACGAATACTTTGCTCTGTTCTCGAGAGTAAACAGGCTGATCTTCGGGAAATACTTCAGCATGGATATCTCACTAACTTTTCTGAACTCATGCTTTCCGCTAAACTTATCAATAAAGAGGTTAACAGCAAGCCCGATTTTGCCAACATCATCGGCTCGTATATAGCCCTTATGAAGTGGAAGGAAACTCAGGATCAGCTTGAAAGCCATTGCTATATATTCCTTGAAGTTCTAAATAGCCTTAGCTTGGATGTGGTGGCACGAACAATAAAGGATGCCTGGAGATGTGAGGTTTGTAGTGAGCTTGGCATTACAATATTATTGGAAAAGCCTTTACAAGTCAACCAAGACATACAGCATGCACCTGTTTATGCACCTTTCTATTGGGTATCATCTGCTCAACTCCCTGCCCTCAGACAGCAATACTATCCTGTACAACCACCTAAGACATCGCTAGAATTAGAAAAAAACTTGAGACGTAATTCAGAATTATCTGAGAGACTTACGTCAAAAGTCGCACAAAATCAAAGAACACAGTCCAGTAACAGCCTAGCTGAAACATGGTCTCAAGAACTTCACCAGCGTCAGCCCCCATCACCACCTGACGATTATACTTCTTTTGAAACTACTCAAACCTCTGAAATTGGTGTCAACAATGATACATGGCTTACGCCACAGAACCCAGCTCTTTGTGGTTTGAAAATGGTCGCTCCTAATAGTATTGAAAATAATATTATACAACGTACTGATCCAGTGCCATTGGTCAGAGGAGGAGGAGGATCAACTTCTGATCAGTATAATTACTCTGAAGTTATTCCAGGGTCTGACATTATACCACCACCTCCTTCCATGTATTATGGTGCAACTTTTCCATCTCGTTCGTCTACCAATGACACAGCCACTCCTCTTGTTGTTGATAACTCACCACACCCACTATCAACTAACCCAGTTCAATCTAGACCGGTACGTCTTTCCCTTACTCATGGAAAATCACACCCACCTTCTCCAGCAGTTAATAGAGGCATAACCGCATCACCTTCCTCAGGACAAAGTATTAGTTCACAAGGACAAAGGTTCCCTTATCTAGCTACTGATAGCTCTTCTCCACTCAATCCAGAGGTCAGGCGGTCATCTATACAGCAAGAAATATCAAGGCCATATTCACAGGAAGATAAAGAGGACAAAGGAGGGAATGTTGAAATGGTTTCAGGGAGCTCAAAGAGTACAAGTACTATTAAAACATCTGACGTTGCTAGTAGTAAGCTATCTTGTGCTCGTTGTATTGAGCATATTCAAGAGATTAGTGAAAGAGATAAGCGTATAGCTACACTGGAAGAGAAGACATCACTACTATTAGAAATGAAAAGGGAGAAATGTACTCAGTTGCTCGAGATAAAGGTAGCTTTTGCTGTTTTATTTGTTATTCTTATTGTTGTCATTGCTTTTCTTGCTGTTGTATTGACAATGAGCATGTTTCCTCATCCTCCACCTCCTCCTCCTAATTTTTATTCCTGTCTCTAGCACCAAATGGTAAACAGTCATAATTTTTTCTATTTCTGTATTTTTTGTATTTATGTATTTTTTAAATAAAGATATCAAAATTCAAAAAGCTTGATAGACTAGATAGCCCCTCCCACCAGCATGGCTGCCTTGTTGTGTAGAGTGAAAAGAACTTCAGTCAGCTTCTCAAAGAATTTAAGTTTGTTTTTGCCTAATATGTGTATGTTATTATTATCAATATTACAGAGCTACTAGTAAACAACAGGCTCTATGCTCTCAGTCGAAGCAACACGGTACGGGTAGATCTTTAACATTGCAGATAAAAATGTTTCTAATTATTTATAGAATTTAAATACCAGGCCTTGATCTATGTATATTTTTGTAGGATGCATATATAAGTAATGGAGTTAATGATTGTCCAAAAAGTTGTCTTTGTTCAAACGGGATTCTCATCGATTACAAAGTGTGTCAAACTTAAAATTCTGACATTGAATTATTTTATGTATTTTTAGAATGTCCAGCTCCTATCACAGTTTGTTTCGTCACAGACCGGAATGATGTATCCCAGAACATACACTAGTAGATATAATCACGCTTATTGTATCATTGACCATCATATGATATTTTTAGAGATTTGTATGAAAAAACAAAAACAATTGGCAAGGGCTATCAAAAGATCACGGACAATGGGTAAGAGAATTTTTTAACTGTAGCAAAATTGGCTTCAAAGCAATCCCTAATTTTCTTTGTTATTTTAGGTTTTATGCCATACACATACAAAATACCAGAGTATTTAAATGATCCAAAATTATTCTGAGGTCAGCTATTGATACAAAGCATTACAAAAAGAATCATCATGTATGTCATGTATTTTTATTAGTTGGTCTTTTTTGATGTTTTGTCATTGTTATCTTCCTCGACAGGCTCCTCCTCCTGTTCAAAAGGTGATGGAGCTAGTTGTAGAAACTCATTGATCTTGTTTGCTATGTCTTTATGTAATCTGTAAATAAATAAAAGGGAGTATCGTATCGTTATTTATTAATCGTTTTATAATACTAACTGCTTGTTTCCATAAGTAGCTGATCCTGTGATTGAGAGAGTCAGGCCAGTAATGTACAATAAAATTACCTGAAGAAGAATAATTATAGAAATTAGAAATTAGTATTAGGTATTAATTAGACATGAGAGTACTTTACCTGATGAGCAGTTCCTAAAAAATTTGGTTTAGTACTTTCTGTTGTTACTGCAATGACTTCATCCAGTTGTGACACAACTATTGGGAAATTATGTGGCTCAACAACACGTAAACCTTTTCATTATTATTACTTCTCTTGTTGTAGCCGATTGTAAATCTTTGCAAGAATCTAGCACCCATCATTGTGACGGTACCATTTTCTTTGTTAAAAATACATTCCTGTAATGTACATAATGTTAAGCATTACATAGCGTTTATTGTTATCATTTATATGGGGGTGTGTTGTTCATACCTCGTACTTTTCAGTAGCCAGATAACAGAACCACAGTCCCAAAATATAACACAGGTACCCAAGATAAGGATATTCTACATTATTAACAAAATTATTAATGAGAAAATATATAGTCACCTACGTGCTTGGGTTGAGAGTAAATGTACGATCCCCCAAAGGACTATGAATATTAATCAAAATTTTCAGTTTATGTTGCTTTAGAGCTTACTAGTGAATAAAAGCAGTGACCTCCACGTCGGGTTTCTTCTTAAATGAAGTATCTTGTCATTTTCTTGTTGGACAAACATGTAATAGTTACTGAAGAACCCCATTTCATTAGTGCTGCTGCAGGAAGTTGAGGTTTTAGGTGTGGTCCTGTTGCTGTTTAGGCGTGGCTGCAGATTGCAAATATAATGCGAGGCATGATGCTTCTCTTGATTTTCTTGTCTCTTGTTCTTATTTCTTCAGCATCTCCTCCAGACTGGTTGATAGAAACGATTGAAACAGATGTAAGCAATTAGATCTAGTTCTATGCATTCTTTGTTGCATGCAAAAATTAATTTGGATCTTAATCTAATGTCTGCATTTCAGGTGACCCTGACATCACCAGATAACTCTACTCTAGTCCTCTCCAATGGATTGGTTACCCGTCAGTTTCTCATCAGTCCCAACTTTGGTACAGTTGATTACAGGAGTGAGAGTGCTGGTAGATCTCTCCTGCGTTACATTGGAACAGAGGCTACTATCACTCTAGATGGACAACAGTATAATATTGGAGGTTTGTCTGGTTCCTCTGGCACACATGCTTATCTTAATCGTTCATCTGTTCAAATTGTGGCTGACCCTAATGCTTTTCAATATACTGGGCACAGTCAGTCTGATCCTACTGCTCCCTTCCACTGGGAACCTGGCATTAGATTCTCACCAAAAACTTCAAACTGGCCACCAAAGGGGCTTCACTTGCAAGTTGATTTCAAAGCTCCTGCAAGCGTGAAGGTTCCATCGCATGGGCAGGTATCAGTATCACTCCATTATGAGCTCTATCAAGGTGTACCAATAATGTCTAAATGGATGTCGGTCCAGTATAGTAATACAACACCAGTGGCTCCCATTAAGATTAACGCTCTCAATGTGGAATACCTTGCTGTGCAGAAACCATATGCACCCTGGAATTATGGCTCTAGTCCTCATCCATGGGACATGGGTACCGGTATGACAGGATCATGGCTATACGTTGAGACTGATCAAGCACATGGGACTGTTGTACAGTTCAACAGTGACCCTGCAGTTGGGGCTAGTCCTGGAGCTAGTGAACCTCTTCTTGTCTGTACTTATTATCAAGGAGGACCAGGCGTTCTTATGGCTAACGTACCAAATGTTTCTTCATATCTTACCCAGTTTGATAGTTTTAGAGTTCTTGAATTATTGACTGATACAGATGATCGTGAAAGAGTTGCTTTGAGTAGGCACAGAATGACGCGTCTTTTGGCTCCACACACTCAAGAAAACCCAATCTTCTTTCATGCTACTGACAACAGCCCAACAGGATTTCAAAATGGCGTAAACCAAATGGTTGATGTGGGCTTTGAAATGTACATATACAGCTTTGGCAGTGGTTTTAATATGGAGAGTACAAGTAGTGACTATATAAAGCAGATTAAAGCTAATATTGATTATGCTCATTCAAAAGGAATAGAAGTTGGAGGGTAAGCCAATACTTAATGCTACATTATACTTCACTAACTTCATGATTTTATTTAGGTATGATTTAATTTGTCTTGAGAAAGGACATGGTGGGTATGGAGGTAATGTTGGTGATCAGTGGGATGCTATTGACCCTTCTTCTCAAAAGCCAACTGCCAATGCATGCTTTGCATCAGGATGGTAAGTAATAGTTTTAAAATAATGTATTTGTTTTAAAAAATATAATACAATTGAACAATTTTGATATTATTGTCACACTACTGTACATGGGAATGATGACAGTGTGAGATCTGAGCATGCACAGTCACACCCATTATAGCCACGTCCAGTAAAAAATTGAAAATTGGTGGTACACGGTGATTTTTCCTGGTCTATTTGTAAAATCTCTAAATTTTGTTGCATTTTCTTATGCATATTGATGTCCTTATGCTGTGTGGAAAGTTTGAGGTAATTCTGACATCAAATTTTCAAGTTATGGCCATTTTAAGAAAATACCAAAATTTTTGAAAAATACCCAAGGCTATAGCCCATGGTTTTTTTCAAAAAATGGCTCCAAAATTAATTTAAATTTTTATCACATTTTCTGATACATAATGATGTCCTTATGCTGTGTAGAAAGTTTGAGCTGATTCCGACTTCAATTTTTCAAGTTACGGCCATTTTAAGAAAACACCAAAATTTTGAAAAATACCCAAGGCTATAGCCCATGGTTTTTTTTAAATGGCTCCAAAATTACCTTAAATTTTTATCACATTTTCTGATACATATTGATGCACTTATGCTATGTAGAAAGTTTGAGGCAATTCTGACAAATATTTTTCGAGTTATATTAGCATATAAGCTAAGGCTATAGCCTCAGATTTTTCAAAAATCAGCCCATGATTTTCTATGTCTGACTAACAGATGCATATACTGCATATACAAGAGTATAGTATTGTATTTTCATTAGGTATGACAAAATAAGTGGAATTATGACTAATTTCATAAATCAGACTGGGCTCTCAATGGTCGAGACAGACGGGCCTTATGGAGGAGAAACGTGTGCTTCTACTACTCACGACCACCACATTGGGAATGATGATTCCATCTACTGGCAAACCAGACTACAAGGAGAGCTATACAAGACGCTAAAGGACTCCAATGTATTCATCAACCAGCCGGATAATTTCTTCTATCAAGGAGGGAATAAAGTTGGCATGGGATACAATGAAAATCAGTATAGTTTACCAAGAAGACAAGATCTCCTTGTCAGTAGACAAGTATGGCATTCTATCTCATTGCTAGTAGTGTCACATAAATATGTAGGGAATGTATGATGATACATATCACTTCATCCCAACTCAAGGATGGATGTTTGTTCCTATTGTTGATTATCATGGTGGTGGTGCAGCAGCCATGTTTGAGCCCCTTGAGACTAACATCCTCGACTACGAATGGGCTTTTGCTCAGTATCTTGGATATGGCGTGGCTGCTTGCTATCGTGGCAATGTCCTTTATGATGGCCCCAATTCTAAAGCAGTTGTGACAAAATGGGTCTCATTTTATAAGAAATATCGTGATATTCTCATCAGTGATATTGTTCATGTAAGAAGACCTGACATGCAAGGTATGATGTAATGTTATTATTGTAGCCCAAACTAGTTATATTCTGATGCAGATATTGATGCTATACTCCATGTCAACCCATTTATTGATAATCGTGGTCTTGCTATGGTCTACAATCCAACTCTTTACACGCTGTCACGTAATCTTACGCTCCCTCTGTATTACACTGGATTGAAAACATCAGCAACGATTTATCAAGAAGGCCAAGAGCCAGGTCAAGCATATAATCTGGAGCAAGACTACTCTGTCTCTCTTTCGCTGAAAATGGAACCACAAACTATTACATGGTTTCTTATAAAAGCTACTTAGCTGATTTGTAATAATTGTATTTTTGCTAGCTGCTTAATGAAAATGTTATTAATGTGCCTCTTTTTATTATTTGCTAGCCTCAGGCGCATGTACTTGTCTAAAATTTATTTAAAAAGTATTATTATTTATCAGCTAAGTTAGCTAATGCAGCTAAGCAGTACATGCTTCAAAATTTAAAAAAATAATTAAAGCAGAGTTATTTTTCTCAGGTTTCTGCAGCTAACACCAGAGCACTTGTACCATGTATCTAGTATCTCCTAAATATTATTATCATCAAAGTCATTATTTTTAATGCTTTTTTTTACTTCGAATTTTTGCATCTGTTCTTTTGGGAGGCTACTGGCCAAGTTCACTTTCTCCCATGGGTCCTAAAATTAAACTGTAACAACATCAGACAATATATCAGTTATTTCACTTCATCTAGCTCAAAGTATTCTCTGAAATATATTTCGGATTGTTGCACTGGAAAATCATCTTTAAAATAAAAGATCAAATTATAGCAATAAATCTACTTAAACCTTTCAAATAAAATCTAGCGTATAAAATATCCTTGTTTCCATTGGCATTTTTTGGGTCAACGCTTCTAAGTGCTACCCAAGTATTGTTGTTGCAATCTAACAATTTTATTTATCATAATAACAATTTTGATACTAAATTCCTAACCATGAAGGAAACCAAGACCTGCAACATGTCCTTCACCATAATACTCCAACATAAAGTGATATTGGGCCTCCTATTTTACAGAAGTATGTATTCAATGATTATTCATGCATAAATACTTCTTGTTCTATTGGTGACATGAGAGCCGATTTGAGCGATATCCCATCCATATCATCAGGTATTTCCCCTCCTCCAAGATCAATAAAAGTCGGGGCCTGTTGCATTAAAAGTAATGTCCTGTTATACAATTAAAATTCATTATACCATATCAATGTTTAGTGCTAGAGCAGATGTTTTTTGGTTTTTAGGAATACCAGGGCCCATAGCTATGAATGGAACTCTAATATTCTCATCATAAGGCTGCCTTTTTTCTCCCTGTTAATGACACAAAACTGCTAAAATGTATTTCATTTATTATGATGCATACTTGCTGATTGTTTTCGCCAAGATGGTAGCCTATTAAACATCAATATTTACACACTTCTAACAAAGCATAATAAGGTACATACCATGATCACTATTGTAGAAAATATAAGTATTATCCATCACTCCAGCATTCTATTGACAAGAATATTCAAAGACTAAATAAGCACTATTAATCACCTTTAGCTCATTCACTATTGCTTCTACTAAGTCGTCAACTGAGACAAGTGTTCTTATCCTGTCCCGATAGAGTTCATCAACAACCTGTGTTGTCTCTGGTGTCAGTGGTGGAGTACCTGTGTTAAGTCTTTGCAATGATTGTACAGTGAATACAAACATAGTTACCATTTGTAATGATCCAGTGTTTATCAGGAGCGGCAAAACCATAAGAAGGAGTCCTTGGAGCAACTTTGTCACTGAACATATTAGCATATTGAGGAGCTGGTGTAGCTGGGCGATGTGGAGCAGGTGTTGCTACATACATAAAGAATGGTTTGTCAGCACTCTTCTTTATAAAATCAACAGCTTCATCACGGACTCTATCAGTAAAATAATCCTCAGTATAATTGCTTCCGTGCTTTTCTGATTGGCCTTGATTGGACACTTCATAATTATAAAACTTACTAAAAAATAATAACTGCATCTGTATCAAAGTATATAATACTCTACCTGTTGCCAACAAGGGTATACCATCGGTCCCAGCCTGGTGGAATGTGCTCAACAGTGATTCCAGAACTACCTTGTGCATAGTTATTTAAATATTTACCTACAATAGACGTATAGATCAACATGTGTTCATTTTTACTGTGCAAACCAAAAAATCCAGTTGTATATCCAGCTTTAGACATGTATGGTCCCATTGTCTTGTGTTCATTCAAGTCTCTCCAAGATTGAGCATCACACCCACTCCCAACACCATTCTCATAGGTTCGATGGTTATGCACGTACTTACCAGTTAGAATAGATGACCTTCATTAATATGTATAAGCACTTAATTGCATATATAATTGCATACCTTGATGGGCAGCATACTGGTGTAGTAACATAAGCATTCTCAAACATAATCCCTTGCTCAATAACGAGTGAGCGAAGCTTAGGCTGCACATCAAGTGATCCAAGCCTGATATCTTGATCATCAGTTAAAATATAAACTAAAGAATAAGACATAGTATAAATATGAGGAATTGTATGCACTGACCTATGTTTGGTTTTCCATGTGCATATATAAAGGCAGATACAAGCAGCAAAAGAGCAGTGAATGAAAAGGTCATATTGAATCCTTGGGTGTGGCTCATTAAAAGAATTCAATTAATATTTGGGTGTGGCTCGGCTAAAATCTCGCCCATTGCTTGTCAGCTTGTGAAATGTTCAGCTTTGCCCTTATTCTTTTTCTCTCGCTTTTTCTAACTCAGTCATGTGCTGCAGACGAGCTTACTGTCTCCTATTGCAAAGACACGGCAGGTAGATCATAATATGAAACTGATTGCAAAAGATTATTTGCTCTTTATAGTTGGAGAATGGCGGAATGTTGCCAGAGAGATGTTTTCCATGACAAGAGTGGGAATGGCTGAAGTGAGGAATTATTATCATTATAATTAAAAAATTGAGAAATTCTATTTAGCTGTATTGCGATAATGTTTTGCGAAACGATATTGTCTTAGCGACATTTGTCAATGGTCATTATGAACAGCATGTGAAATCACAAGGGGATAACATACACACATACCTAGCCAACATCTTAAGGTAAAAACTATTAGTCTATTACCAAGAGTGTATAATAAGAATACTAGGAAAGTGAGTAGTGCTGCTATTATCACAGTGAGTGAAGAAAGTGAACTGCAAGAGCATCTAAAAAAGGACCAAGATGCTTTTGTAGCATACATAAAAGGACAAGATTCAATAGGTTTCATCTGGCATTACCCATACAGTATTAAGTGCTTTTTCCAAACAGACCATCAATCCTTTCAGCAAGCAGCATTATCAGTGGAAGTTCCTAGTAATTTGCAAATAATCATCACGCATAGTCCTGTACTGCTTAAGAAGGACATTAAGAAGAAGATCCATGTGTGGTATGTAAAACATGACAAGTGGATTGAACTGGATATCCCAGTTGTTGGTGATGATGTCACCGCAGATGAAGCTCGTTACAAATTTACAACGCATATCAGGAACTTAAAGTACCCAACAATAGTAAGTATTAAAATTATACGTGGCAGCTAAAGTTTAATGTTCTATTTTTTAGTTCACTTATACTGGAGATGACTATGTTGACACATATAAAAACTCTTTGTTAGATTATGTGCTGGTACTGCACAATACTAAACAACAGACTGAAGTCACTCAAAAAATAGTTGAGCCATTGTCAAGAGAGTTCCAACTCCACTTTGCTTTCATACTAATAGATTGGTAAGATAAAAGATGAGTGTTTAAAGTTGTTGAATTATTTATTCTTTAGTGAAAAATACCCAGTCATGCTGGATAGATACAAAGCTGAAAACAAAACACTTCCTTTACTTATATCACTAAAAAATGGGCAGGTACTTTAAAATTATGAACATTTTCTGTATTTTATTGCTTGCATTAAAGAGTACTGGGATTCACATTGATAAAGAAAAGGTACCATACAATGATATCGAAGCTCTTGTTGAAGTATTGACAATGATAAAAGCTGAAGTTCAAGAGATATTAACAGTTGGTGAGTTTGAGTATTTTTAATGCTGACTTTCATACTATTAATAACTTAGATCCTGCTTACATGGCTACTGTGAACACGAGTAATAGTTCACAAGATGAAGAACACAGACACACTGAGCTCTAATGATTATAATTATAATGGACACAAGCTTATTAAAAAAGACACATCAATAACTATTTTTGAAATAATGATAAATATTTGAGTGTGCAAAAATGAAGAATAAAAAAAAACAAGCACAAACACCATCAAGATGAAGTGATCCCAATCCTTAGACACAGTTTATACAAGGAGCTTCTTTATTTCATGAAAGGCTGGTCTGTCAATTTCATCAGCATTCCAGCATTGCCTCATAATTCGGTAAATGTTGTCAGGACATCCTTCAGGTGGATCCATTCGATGCCCTTTATCAATTTGCTCAGTAATTTCATTTGTAGGCTACATAATTATGAGTAAGGAACATGACATTAAGAGGCAACTTACAATTCGTGGATATGGTAATCTGCCACATGAATAAATTTCCCACAAAAGTATTCCAAAACTCCAAACATCCGATTTGATAGTAAACACCTATACAATGGGTCATGTTATCCTTTATAAAATGAATAACAGGCGAAACAACATTGAAAATGCCCTTAATCAACTAAATAAATCACATGTGTTGAGTACATACATGTATCTAATTGCATGTATGGAAATAAACTAGCTCACATTTCTTTTAATTGTTTCTGGGGCTGCCCATTTTACTGAGCAACTCTTGCCTTTGCAGGTAACCCAAAATTTAGATATCTAGCAACAATATAATAATAACTATCATCACTATATTACTGTAACTTGATACTTTGGCTGTAAGGGCATCTGTTAGTAGGATATGACGAGCAGTAACGTTCCTGAATTATGTGCAAATAAATATATAGTAAGACAGGAGTTTTAGCATTAAGATCTAACCTGTGTACTATATTTTTGGACTCTAAGTAGGCCATTCCATTGCAGACATCTCTATTTACAACAACTTAATAATTGTAATAACTAAAATCTTGCAAAAACCTGGCAAAGCTTAATTGACTTTTTGTGACAACGGCTCTGCTCCGTGACCTCAAAAATTGCTCAAGTGATCCTTTAGCTACAAACTCTTTAACCAAGCATATGGGCTGACTCTCCAATGAAATCCCAATAATTTCAATGATGTTTGGGTGTCTGAGAGTCCTAGATGACATATTATTGATGTATGGGTCTAGATCTAGTTCTTTTTGGCATACATCATTATTGAAACTTCATTTAGAAATTGCTGAGTGGGTCCAGCTCCTTTGATGCTCTCAAGGAGTTTGATAACCACTTGTGTTTCTTTATAAAATCCCATGCACAGGGCATCTGATAAGCATTATAATAACTATGATAATAAAACTCTTTGTAGATACATTCACCTCCAAACTCTCCTTTCCCTAGTACAGAGATAACTCTTAGCTCATCTTCTGGTATTATAACTATTTTATCTGTAATTTAAATGGCAATAAATTTATTAGTAATATTAGTGTATATGCGTGCTTACACGTGCCTTCGTCTTTTAAGCCACTGCTAGTCTTTTCTAAAACAAATTTCAGACGAGTGCAAAGACCATCAGCATTTTCTTGATGATGCTATATAATTATAATATTCATAATCATCAAGCACTACTAAATTTTCCGGTTTACTTTGATTAAGGTGACAAGATCTTTAAAATGTGTCTCTTTGTCTATTGTTACACTCCCTCTTTTGTCTTTGCACACTCTGTAGTGCTCAACATTGTTAGCATATCTAGTGATACAGTTTATGAGCATTAAGGCCTCCATACACTAGGCAACATGCTGCTAGCAACATTTGTGGCTACTTGATCTTATAAGCAAGATGCTGCCAGAAATAGAACAGCCTTCTATTTCTGGCAACATGTTGCTTACAAGATCAAAGTAACCACAAATGTTGCTAGCAACATGTTGCCTAGTGTATGGAGGCCTTTAGGTAGTAGTATTGTTTAATGGTCACTTACGATAGACTAATGGTATAGTCATCAGTGTAATTAGCACTGTCTCTGACCAGGAATGTACCATTTTTTGTATTGATCAGCAACTTCTCTGCATCGCGTCTTGTCAAACCTCCGTGATACCACCTGGGAAAATAAAAACTAAACCCAAAACTTTTGCTTTACGGCATATCCAGGAGATCTGTTGGTTGTTTAACTTGTGTAGCTTTCGGTTTTAAGGGAGGCGGTGCTGATGCTGGCGGAGACTGAGATATTGATACATAGCTTATGGGGATCATTCCTTCTTCCCCATCCAACCGACGGGCCTTGTACCAATTTGGATCCTGACATACAACATGAATAAAATTAAAGCAACTGAATACCTATACTTTTGATGCTTCAATGATAGTCATTATGTCACCTTTCTTAAAAGTCAGTTCCTGAGGTAAATTAGTGTACAGCAAAAGCAAAAGAAGAGAGAGAAAGAGGATGGAATGTCAAAGAGAAAAGGTCAGAAGAAAGAGAGAGAGAGAAATAAAAGGAAGAGAAAGGTCATGCATAAAAGAGAGAATCTTACTCACATGTACTGATAGTCCAGGATAATTATATCTTCCACAGCACTGGGTGCCAGGTTCTAGTGGATCACAAGCATATCTCTACATATATAAAGTAATGAATAGAGAGTATATAGAGATACAGCAAGTCATTGGTAACATACAGAAGTAGAAGACATGACAGATGACAAATATATACAAGTAGTAAGAGAGTGTCACTGAGAGAGGCAGGGAGAGAATATAAAGAGTCAACAGCTAGCAGGAAGTAGGATAATAGTGAAACTCAAAGCTCTCTCAAAAATTTATTAAAGTCGGCATGCATTGTTGACAAATTGTCACAGCCTGTTAGCTATACAGTATGAGACATTAGATGAGTAAACATTAGATGTTATTTTAATCAAGTCCTGCCCATGTATACATATTTACTCCCACATAAGGACATCTGCAAGCATGTATGGCTATAGAATACATTGAAAGTTGAAACTGAATCTTTCAATGCATTTTTAATGACAACCTGCTTGTAAAGCAGAAGATCCAGATGCTAAATACACCTATACTCTTGACACAACAATTTTTTTAAACAGCATTATGCTGTTTACCGATGCAGTCAACTAAGGAGTAACTAAGGTGTCTTATAAGTTTTGCATTTGGTTACGTAGCGTAGATAGATAGTGGGTTTGTTTAATATCATTATGTTAACTGCAAAAATAACAATTTACTATCGACAACCTCCTGATTACTTGTATAAATATATATATACACTGATTCTGTCTAAAAAGTTGAAGCTAATATCAGTCATAAAATTTGAATTTTAATAAAATATTAATTTTGACAAGAATTTTGTTCATGCCTTCAAGTGTAATTACACCTAAGAGCATCAGCAAGATGTATAATAATAATGATTATTATTTTTAAAAAGCCGGAGTAGGCGAAGAGCTAGAATAGATTTTGTGGTAGGGCAGGAATATTCTAGTGGCCGCATGCATAGATATAGAGTACTTGCTCCGCTATTATCATTTATTTTATGGTGCATGTATGAATGGATGTTCCCATCCTATCACCAAACTCCATGCCTATGTCACTAACGGTGTGACTTGGTTTCAGGCATAGAGGATAGCAATAAGGTGAGGAAGCCTTCTGACCGACCTCTACCTACCACATAGCACTCTATTGAGTGATTGCGTGGTCGCTAGATAGAGGAGTCATCAGGCCAAGAAATGATGGTAGCAGATGGTGATAGAGAACGGTTGCAACCTTAAGAGGTCACAGGGGGTTCGAAGTAAGCGAATATTATTTGTATGATTCAGCAGGACGAGGACGAAGTAAGCGTTGAAATCGACGAGACGGTCGATTTCTGATGGTTAACTCGCACCAGAGAGTCATCTCTTGTTGAGTCAACCTGTGATCCTCAGCTATCTAACTGCGAATGACTTCCAAGGGCATTCTGAGCCCTTTTATACCAACAGAGACCAATACAGATATAGATAGTAACACCTCGTCATATTAAAGCTATAAATGGTAACATTACATCATAATAAAGTTATAAATAGTAACATTACATCATGATGACAGAACATAATGACATTTACTACTAAAACAAACTGAGCAAGCAGTTTTAAAAATAGGCATATAGTATAGCAGGATTACATCACACACACACACACACACACACACACACACACACACACACACACAAGAATATATTAATATTTCAGCATAATAATAGCATAAATATGTCAGCATAATAGTGGCAAATTGTTCTTAAACAGCGCTTCTAGTATGAAAAGCGGACTGAGTAGCAGTGTGATCCACAGGCAAGAATTGATTGAGCCTAGCAATGTAGTGAGAGAGTGTCACTACTCTGTGGACAATCATTCCTAGAAACTGGATTGATATCAGGATCCCATACACAGCGAGAAAGAGTAGACCAAGGAAATTAGCACTGAGACCAAGATCAGTGAGCTCACTGAATGTGAATATTGAGATTAGTATGAGCCACATGAGGTTAATGAGAAACATTGCAATCAAAGTATAATTGCGTAGATACTTCAAGTCGCTTCGAAGCTGACTGGCTTGAGTGAGGTGATCCGGTATTGGCCTGAGTGTAGTTGCGACCATTTCATTCCAAAACTCAAGCTCATCATCATCTAGAGGCTTGTTAGGGTGATCATTAGTTAGCTCTAATATTTGTCTGGCTTTAGACATCTTTTCCTCATCTAGAGAAGGAAGAATATAAACAATGACAAGGTTCCAATATGGTAGCTCACCTTCATCTTTCATTCTAAGCCTTTGTATTCCTTCCATGAATCGTTTGACATGAGCTATAAAAATAACAAATATAAAACATAGCAATGCATATAAACAGTACAGACCTCTCTTCTTCACACCAATATCATTTTTCAGCTCATTCTCTGTTATATGAGCAAGGTTTTCCACATCACCTTCTCCATAATATCCAGCAGCATGAAACTTCTGGACATAGTCGTCTTCTGGAGAGTCCATTTTTAAGTACATGATCCATTCTTCAACAGATTTCTATGCAATACATTTTATTATTCATTTAAGTAGCATATAAGGTCATTGTGTTTACTGGTATTGTTGGTTCAAGATGAGATATTGGAAGTTTCTTAATAGCTTTGTCCAAATGATGTATATATCCAATAGGGCGAACCCCAATGCTTTCCAAATCCTATTCATAGCTGTTAAAATAATTCATTATTATTACATAACACACCTTTATTGACATTTTTGCAACACACCACTCTTCCGTGAATCCTTCTTTTGCAAATTTGTCATAAAATATCTGCAAATTATTTTTGTGTCATATATGCACATGTATACACTATACAGCTATCATTATTAATACAGTTATAAGACAATTTAAAATATGCCATTAAAAAATACCTATCCTTTTAACACCCCAAACTTTTATTATATTTTCTCATACATATCGATGCCCTTATGCTATGTAGAAGTTTGAGCTGTTTCCGACAAATATTTTTTGAGTTATGGGCAGTTTTTAAAAAGTGCCAAATTTTGAAAATTACCTAAGGCTATAGCCCATGGTTTTTTCCAAAAATGGCTCCAAAATCACCCCAAATTTTTATTACATTTTTGATACATATTGATGTCCTTATGCTATGTAAAAAGTTTGAGCTGTTTCCGACAATTATTTTTCGAGTTATGACCATTTTTTAAAACGAGCCAATTTTTCAAAAATACCCAAGGCTATAGCCCATGGTTTTTCCCAAAAATGGCTCCAAAAACACCCCAAATTTTTATTACATTTTAAAATACATATTGATGTCCTTATGCTATGTAGAAAGTTTGAGCTGATTCTGACTTTAAATTTTTGAGTTACGGCCATTTACAAAAATGAGCCAATTTTTTAAAATTACCCAAGGCTACAGCCCATGGTTTTTTCCAAAAAATGGCTCCAAAAACACCTCAAATTTTTATTACATTTAAAAATACATATTGATGTCTTTATGCTATGTAAAAAGTTTGAGCTGTTTCCGACAAATATTTTTTGAGTTATGAGCAGTTTTTAAAAAGTGCCAAATTTTGAAAATTACTTAAGGCTATAGCCCATGGTTTTTTTCCAAAAAATGGCTCCAAAAACACCTCAAATTTTTATTACATTTTTGATACATATTGATGTCCTTATGCTATGTAAAAAGTTTGAGCTGTTTCCGACAATTATTTTTCGAGTTATGACCATTTTTTAAAACGAGCCAATTTTTCAAAAATACCCAAGGCTATAGCCCATGGTTTTTCCCAAAAATGGCTCCAAAAACACCCCAAATTTTTATTACATTTTTTGATACATTTTGATGTACTAATGCTGTGTAGAAAGTTTGAGCTGATTCTGACAAATATTTTTCAAGTTATGAGCATTTTTAAAAACGAGCCAATTTTTTAAAAATACCCAAGGCTATAGCCCATGGTTTTTTCCAAAAAATGGCTCCGAAAACATCCTAAATTTTTATTACATTTTTTGATACATATTGATGTCCTTATGCTATGTAAAAAGTTTGAGCTGTTTCCAACAAATATTTTTAAAGTTACGAGCAGTTTTTAAAAAGTGCCAAATTTTGAAAATTACCTAAGGCTATAATAGCCCATGGTTTTTTCCCAAAAATGGCTCCAAAAACACCCCAAATTTTTATTACATTTTTTGATACATTTTGATGTACTAATGCTGTGTAGAAAGTTTGAGCTTATTCTGACAAATATTTTTCGAGTTATGAGCATTTTTAAAAACAAGCCAATTTTTCAAAAATGCCCAAGGCTATAGCCCATGCTTTTTTCCAAAAAATGGCTCCAAAAACACCCCAAATTTTTATTACATTTTTTGATAAATTTTGATGTACTAATGCCGTGTAGAAAGTTAGAGCTGATTCCGACAAATATTTTTCGAGTTATGAGCAGTTTTTTTTAAAGTGCCAAATTTTGAAAAATACCCAAGGCTATAGCCCATGCTTTTTTCCAAAAAATGGCTCTGAAAACACCCCAAATTTTTATTACATTTTTTGATACATATTGATGTACTCATGTTATGTAGAAAGTTAAAGCCAATTCTGACTTCAATTTTTGAGCTATTATTTAAATGTGCCAAAATAATAAGTTTTACTTACCAAACTATCATTTTTTTCCAACCATTTTTCAAGCCAAAAGTATTTCTTTTGTGGCAAATCATGATCAGGTTCTACAGAAACTAAAGTTAGAAACCTCATAAAGCTTTCACTTACCAATTCCAGGTCCTTCCAACCCCATCCCCTCTTTGCAAGAAACTTCACTTTCCCGAGTATCTTTTTCGACTTCCTTTTTCACTTCTGGAGGTTTTGGCTCCTTCTTCATAAACTTATCAGCAATATACTTCACGGTTTCCTTAAAGAGAGAAAACAAGCTTTGCTCTGATTTATCTGCAGCCTCTCTGGTTCCCCATCTCCTGTCATTAAGGTTAGCTGTAGAGTAAATGAGTAGAAGCAAATATCCAGAGGGAAGACCAAGGAGATACCACAAGCATTGAAACAACGCAAAGCCTTCAAAGAAATGAAGAATGGCTGCTGTCACAAAAACAATAGCAAATAGGGAAATGTATATAGTACTCTCTGCAATTGGTAGCTTTCCACGTTCAATATGAAATTCATATTCATACTGAGAAGTGGTTTCATTCAAAACCTGGAAAGGCGACAGAATATCTTGAACCGTTTCCTTTATGATCCCCACGACAACAGCAGCCATCACTATTGAGAATATAAAAGTAAGAATCTTTGCAATATCTAATTGCGTCTTTTGACTAGTGAAAATGCAAATAAAGCCATATATCACAGCAACCAATCCAATAAGAACTATTACTGCAGTTGGATTAAAATTAAATGAGGTGGACAATCCGGACGATATGATGAGAATAACAGTAGCAGGGGATATGATGGTTGAAATGATAACGATAATCTGGTACAGAATGAACGCCCACGTCACGGACTCATTCCTTCTAGTCACTTTACCAGCTTTAGAAATCAAGAGCCAAAGGTTAGCAATAGTCGATGGAATCCATCTACGACGCTGCTTATAAAACTCATCAAAGCTCAGCGGACAATACGTTTTGTCATTAGATATGGCACAAAACTCGAGTCTCCAACTGTTCTCAACGAGGAGCGTACAGAGCCACCTGTCCTCGCCCATATCCTTCATTAAGAACTCCAGGGCAGTAGAGACCTCAGTAGAGTAGGTGGGCAGACACTGTTTAAGAGCAGAGCAGCGGAACATACTAAAGCAGCCAGGACAGCATAGAACCGATCCAAGGACATGCTCAGCACTCTTCTGTAGCCAGTGACCAATCGCATAGTCAAACACTTGATACCAATAAATAGGACCACTACCTAGTGGATGAGTCCTTGAACAAACTGCACCAACTTGAGGATCACGAGCTAGCATGTCTAAAAGAACCACAGCAGACTCTGCTTTAAAGTCAATGTCGGCATCAGTGGTAAGGATAAACGTGTTACTGAGATCAAATTTATCCTGTTTCTCGAGGTGCTCGAGAATGAATTTCATGTACATGACTTGACTCCATCTCTTCTTGTTTCTCACTTTGTGGTTGTCTTTGAGGTGAATCATAAATGGCATGCAGTTGTCAATGAGCCACATAAACCGATAGCCATATGGTGTCTTCTGCTTTGTAGCATTTCTAAGCTTTATGCCAAGTGTGTCTTCTAGAAGACTCATGAGTTGTATGGCAAACTGGGACAAATCGTCTTCCCTACAACCTCCATCAAAGAAAATGTGAGACTCGTATTGGTACTTAAAAATATTTTGATCTTTCCTGAAGAACTTTGAAATTCGTCTAATGGAGCGAAGCATCTGCCTCATCTCTTTTGCATTCTCACGAAACATTGTAGAACATACAAAAACCCGACACGACTCACGCCTCCCGTCTGTCATAACCTGAGGCTTGTGTGAGACGACACGGTTAATAGCCAGGAACTGCTCCAGGAGTGCACTGTTGTAGTATGGACGGACAAACATGTCTTCATCGGATGCAAGGATCGCATTTTTAAACCGGAAGAGGTTAACACCTGCCACTAGGGTCTGACCAACCCATAATAAGAAACTAAACCCAAAAGCATAATGAACATAACTACTGCAGAAAATAGTATTAAAATCGAGTAATGGAGCATCATAAGTCTGAAAGGGGAACAGGTTTATGTTGTGGCCCTCAATGCTAGCAGGAGAGTTGGATATAAAATAGATGCATAGAGAAATGGGAGTGGCAAGTAGGACAGGGAGTGCTAGTCCGAACACATGTAGAGTCATGTAACAAGCCAGCCTTGATAAAGCATACGCTAGGAAACTAGCAACAACATGTACGGCAAAGACAGAAATATAATGACCACTCCAGTTGAAGGCATAGAAAATACTTTCACCTTTTGGTATAGCCCAGGGATCTACTTCATGCCCATTCTGCAGTTTGTACATAAACTTGAAGATACAATAACTGAGAAATGGATAAGTGAGCAGTCTAACAGATGTGGCTATAAAACCTATTCAAAGAAGAGTACAAATTACAATCAGCAACAGTTATTACAATGATTATGTCTACTATTGTAGATGCTATCTTCAGCTTACTTGCTTTCCATCTAGCTATGGTGTTCAATTCCTTTGCTTGGCCAGTCTTTAGCATAACCACTCTAGCTTTATCTTTCGACTTTTCACTTGGAGCAAATGTCCTCTTTTGCAATCTACCAGACCACGTGAAAGACAGGACGACCAAGCATGGTATGACCAAGACCAGTCCCAGTAGGTCAGTACCAGATTTAGACCCATTGTAGGCATTGGCAAGGAACACTGTTATAGATGCTAATCCAGAAGTCTGACACAAAAACCCAGCCACTAAAATGAGAGCTATAAGACAGCGATAACGTGGGCTTCGTGGGCTTAAACTCCCAATCCCATCAATTGAGCTATATTCGTTGTTGCCTCTAGTTGCTTTATAGCACATGTAGTAAATCCCGTAAAAACTTTCAACAAGCGACTGGGTACTGTAGACCCCACACATTAAGAGTATGGATAGTGCTGGAGGGAACGTGATCAATATATAGAAGAATAGAAAGCACTCGGCAACTGCTTCCAAAAATGCGATTGCTATACACTACAAATGATATATAACATAATTGCTACTGAAATTAATTATCATTTTAAAACTTACTCCAAGTAGAGCTGTTAATTTGGGCCAGGGTCTACGAGGGGATTTACTAAGTAATCCACTTAACACGGTTCGTATCCACGAAATGAGATTTGGAATCATTACTATAAAAAATAGCATCCAGTAGAGATTAGCAGCTTTATGCTTGGCCTGGATTGGATCAAATGATTGGTCGGATTGATCCGGTGGTTTGCAGGAGTCATTGTATTCTCCTAAGACGTGTAGGTCTGCTAGGATTTTGATGATCGTGAGCTTGCTCAGAACGAGACAGGTGAGCACAGAGGCCACGAGAAGAATCCTAACAAACCAAACAAGAGCGTTGATGTTGGCCTTGGAAGATTGGAAGACTCTTCTGCTCGGGTCTCTGGGCGTATCAGACTCTTCTAAATCGTCATAGTCTGTATCATCGATGCTGGAGAGAAGAGCATCGGATTGGTACAGTATCTCTTCATTGCTTTGTTGAAATCTTACACTTAAGTCTGCGCGAACAGCCATGTTGACGGAGGGACTCGATAGAATTATGAGTAGGAGTATCAAGTATGTTGGAGTATCTTGATAGTAGTATGTTGTGGCTCTTTGGGCGCAGTGCACTATTTAAAATAAAAATTAATTCATTGATCTAGTTTAGATAATCACACAGGCCCAATAGGTTGTAATAACTTTCACTCTGGCCTCACACATTATGAATATAGGACTCAGACTATGAATTTAAGCTGAATCGAGTATAATTGCATTCCTTTTAAATAAAATTATATTGACTGCAAAACTATAAACTGCAATAGGAGTGAATCATGACCACATTTTTTATTTTTAATAGAAAAACATAATTGTACACATTCTTTAAAAGGATGTTATCATACACTAGATCATAGTATAGAGTACTCTCAGTGTTTCTTTTGCTTTGTCTTCCTGGTTCGCTTTCCAAGCCACTCACAAAATCCTTCGATCATTCCCCCAATGTGTCCAGCGACCCAAAGCGACTTTCCACGCTTCAATGCATACTCTTTAACATATTGATAGAAACTCGAGTCTTCATTATCAAGTTGATGGCGAAGCATCTCATATACTGGTAGCATTCGGGCATGAGGCGAAGCATCAGTTATATTCTCTGATGCTTCCGCAGTAGTTATTTCAGTAGTATCTTCTGTTTGAATCTCTGGCTGATCTCTTGATGGTCGTAACGGTGCAGTGAGGCTCTCTTCAGTATCTTGAATATTTTCACATGCAGTCTCTGAGACTACTTCACATGTTGGTTCTTCAAGCCCGCCACCACCATAGCCATCTTGAACTCCATCATCATCAATCTCCTTTAGAGATGGTCCTTCCGGAGGCGGGTGAATGCTTCGCTCATATGCCTCTTTATGAACTGGTGGGTCTTCTCCATAGGCAGGTGCAACTTCATTGACTACTGGTATACTAATTCGATGGCGATTAGCTTGAAGGAGAGCGGCAATTGCAGCCTGACGCATGTGCTCTGTGCATTCAATCCAGAACCAGACAAACCAGTCTTCACGATCAGGCAGCCTCCATGGATTATCAGGATCATAGCCTCCTTTCTTGTATGAGCCAACAGGAATGGCACGTATCTTGCGTATCTCATCATCAGACAGTCCACCTACTGTCTTTCTTAGCATTGCATGAATCTTGTTTTGCAAAGTTTCGACTCTGTTAGAAAAGAAATATTCTACCTCCTCACCTTTTGGACACAAGTGCAAAACGGCATTTGCAAAGGTAAGGATAAATACCGTGTGCTTCCAAAATTTCTTGCCAAATACTTGAGTGAATATCTTCACAGTGTCGGTGTGAATTCGTTTCGGAAACCTGGTGTCGTCCATCTTGAAACAAAACAAAGCCAAATCGTGAGGAAAGCAATCACTGCTACGGAGCTGCTCAACCATCTTCTCGTCTTCTTCCTCACTTCCAAACCCAAACCCTGGAGTATCCCATATTTTGACCGATATCCCATTCTGATTTAAATTATAATACTTGATTTCAGCAGTACCAGCATCGAACTGGTCTCCTTCGTTTGCCACTTCTTGTCCAAGGAGGCCATTGATGAGGGTAGATTTCCCTTGCCCTGCCTCTCCCACCACCACAATCTTTAGCGCCCTTCCCTTTGTCGGTGTGATATAAGACTGGATTATATCAGAGAAGACCTCTTCTTTAATAGAGTCAGCTTTAGGTTTTGGTGCTGCCATCAAGATTGACGAGAGGTTGAAAAACAAAGATAAGAAAATACAAGATCGAGCCCAGCCCAATGAGCCCATGCGTTTCCGGTATGATAGGGTACGGGTTTAGGAAAAAATAATAATTGATAGCTATAGATTATAGATAACAGATATCATGACAAATTTAGAGTATTTTCATTCTTCCTTTTGCTTTGTCGCTGTAGTTTTCTTCCCAAGCCACTCACGAAATGCTTTAACTTTTTCACCAATCCAATTTTTAACATATTGGAAAAAACTTGACTCTTCATTTTTCATTTGATTATTAAGTGTCTCGAGTATTGGTATATCTCGATCATGCAATGAAGTCTCTAATCGTTTAGTAGTAACTCCAGTGCTATTTTCTATTGGGATCACTGTGTCTCTTGATGATTGCAATGAAGCTGTACGACTCTTTTCATTATCTTCGCATGTTTCAAGCCCACCACCACTGCCACCATCTTGGACTCCATCATCAATCTCCTCCAGAGACATCCCTTTTGGTGCCTGAATGCTTCTCTCATATGCCTCTTTATGAAGTGGTGGGTCTTCTCCATAGGCAGGTGCAACTTCACTGACTACTGGTATTTTAATTCGATGGCGATTAGCTTGAAGGAGAGCACGAAATGAAGCCTGACGTATGTGTTCTGTGCATTCAATCCAGAACCAGAGGAACCAGTCTTCACGATCAGGGAGCCTCCATGGATCATTAGGATCATAGCCTCCTTTCTTGTATGAGCCAACAGGAATGGCACGTATCTTCTCCACCTCATCATCAGACAATCCATCTACTGTTTTTCTTAGCATTGCATGAATCTTTTCTTCCAGCATACAGATTCTATTTGAAAAGAATTCGTCTAATTCTTCATTTTTAGGGCACAGTTGTGAAAGAGCATTTGCAAAGGTCAGAATAAATACTGTGTGCTCCCAAAATTTTCTGCCAAATACTTGAGTGAGTATTTTCACAGTGGTGGTGTGAACTCTTGTTGGAAACCTGGTGCCATCCATCCTAAAACAAAACAAAGCCAAATCGTGAGGAAAGCAATCACTGCGACGGAGCTGTTCCACCATCTTCTGGTCTTCTTCCTCACTTCCAAACCCAAACCCTGGAGTATCCCATATTTTGACCGATATCCCATTCTGATTTAAATTATAATACTTGATTTCAGCAGTACCAGCATCGAACTGATCTCCTTCGTTTGCCACTTCTTTCCCAAGGAGTCCATTGATGAGGGTAGATTTCCCTTGCCCTGCCTCTCCCACAACCACAATCTTTAGCTCCCTTCCCTTTGTCGGCGTAATATAAGACTGGATTATATCAGAGAAGACCTCTCCTTGAATAGAGCCAGCTTCAGGTTTTGGTGCTGCCATAGATCATAGACACTACAATCCAGGCTATAATTATAAACAGGCGAGAGCAGACGAGAATCAACAAGCTAATACGGCCTACGAACAAATGAGCTTCCAAGCCCAGCCCACTTCTCATTCTTATTATTTCCGGTAGCTCTATAAGATTTTTGTCCTTGTTTTCTAATTACACTACACATTTAAAACACACATTTACACACACACACAAGTGTAGATCTAGATCTACATTGCATTTTTAGATAAACTAATTGATGTGTTCAAAATTCAATTATTTTTGGATCCTCAGGGTTAGTTCACGAATTAAAGGATCATCCTTTGACTGCTGTGGCTGACTATCCTCCACTTCAGTAGTAGACTCAAATGTGTCCTCAAGATCCATGTACCTTTGAGAAGACTTCTTACTTTTTTGCTTCCTCTTGGATCTCCATTTTCGTATACCGAAAACAATAAATGCAATAAAAGCGATGGTGAGAAGTGTGCTAATGATGGTACCAATGATAAGACCAGCAATGACTGCTCTGCTTGTACTTTTTGATTCAACATTACCAGTAATAGGATCCACTGTTTGACCATTGCTACTCAGTGATTCAAGATACGATGCACCAGATGTGTACTGTCCTTTAGTATACTTGGTCCAAGTTCCATCCGATTCTTTGACCCACAGTGATCCATATGGTCCAGTGATGGCAAGAGTGTTGCTAACATTGATAGAGAGATCAGCTTTGACTTTATAAGGAGGCAAGCGAGGAGGATGTGGCAGTTGCTTTTTAAATGCTTCCACCACAGAGCAGTAATTGATGATGCATCCTTGATCAACTGCTGCCAAGAACTGGTTGTATTTAACAGGACAGCTGTGAGGGTATATACCTGCAGCAAACTGATTAGTGGAGGATGCCAAAGGGTTGCCTGTCTGACAGCTCTCAAACCCACCAAACGGTATACCCAAGCTCTCAGCTTCAATGTCATTACTAACACAGACACTGATGTCCTTGCCAAAGTTTAGCGGATAGAAAAACATGGGGCATGACCTAGCACCAGTGAGTGGGTTTTGCTCCTTTGATGTGTACACACCACCAAATACATACCCAGAATCAGAAGGGACTGTTGCCTTAGGAGGAAAAACACACCAATAAGCATGATAGGTTGCATGCTTAATGATAGTTCTCTTATTACAATTATAGTGACAGCTAATGTGCAAGAATCCACAGTGCCTCTTGCAGTCATTCTCTATGTACGACGTAGTGGCAGCATCAGTGTGGAGCAGTATTGGCTTGTAGCCAGTGGGGCAGGAGAAATCCTCTGTCAGTGGATTATGATGCTCCAATGACAATTCATTGCACACGTCATAATCATCATAGTTGACACACGTTTGAAATATTCCACCAAAGCTGTGGTTCTGCCTTATCATGGAGCAAGAGTTATCGTCAAGGTTTGCTTGAAAATTGAAATTTGCCGAGTCCGGATCTGTGCAACCGTAGTGCGTGTTGATTTTGTAATATTTATTAACAGACTTGTAGATATACTGTATTGTTTCCAGTAGCAATATATCAGGGAGTTCGGGTAGATTCGATGTACTTATGGCAGTGTAAATCGGTTCACCGCGACGATCAATAGCAACAAGATGATCAAGCAAGCCATCCTCCCAATCAGTATAAGAGAAATTGCCTAGCTTGAAAGGAGGTCCACCGTGAGTGGATACATGTGAATGAGTCGTTGAACTGCTGAACCCTTCAGTATCAACGTGACTTTTAGAAAACTTAAAGTTGGTAGTGATGGAGAACGAGCTAAAGAAACTAGCAGAAGCTGAAGCCGATATATTCAATTGAGTGCTCTCTGTAGTTTGGGAGGAACTCTTGAGAAGAAACGTAGTCTGATAAAGTGAAGCACCAAGATTAATGCTGTTAACGACATGAGTGCCATAGTCGCGTATCAAGAGATCAGTAAGATAATGAGCTACTCTTGTGTTGTTGTTCTGTATGTTGGCAGCAATCTCTAGGACCCGGGATTTGAAGGACGGATGGAGTTCAGCATCAGGATTAACATGAGCCGAATACAAGTGATGGCGAAGGCCAACCCTTACCGAGCGAGACTTGCTATTGACCATTTTAGTCTTAGTATCTTGATAATCAGTTGAAAACTTGCCACTGACTTTTGAGAAAGCACTCCCATATTTAGCTTCGACGTTAATGGAAGTAGCAGTAGTTGATTTCCAGTCATCAAAGTGCTCAAATATTTCAGCAGAGTAGTCTACCTCACTGTTTAGTATTGGGATGAGGAATATATTATCAGGGAGGAGATACTGGCCATCACCTGATATCTGACAGTCTGTATACTTGATACTGAATATCCTTCCAGTGTCAAGGTTGCGAAGATTATCAAAACCAAGGCCAGGGAGTGCATCCATGGTGAGTAGGGACATATTGGGATCCCGCAACTGATTGAAAGGACAATTGCGAATGTCACCCACTGGATACTGCAGTTGTAGCTGCCCCATTGAAAAGAAGAGGGAGAGGAGCAACAAGGAGGAAAGAAGGCCAGCCATTATATCTTTCTGCTATGCTGTTCTGAAGTGTAGCTGTGATAGCAATGGCACAATTGTTGAGCTTACTAGAGTTTATCGTGCTTATATAATCTGTATAATAAGAGCATGGGAGTGATAGATGGTGTCAAGGGGAGAGATAAGGACAAATAAGGCAATGGAAAACTATATGCCCAAATTAGGTATTACTTAAAAGATTGCAAAAAAACAAGAATGACAGTTAAGTACAAAAGAGTCCTCAAAATAAAATTCTAATACTACGACCTTACTACTATAGGCCATATCAACACTACACTACTGATTATCACTATACAGTCTATACTGATAGACTTAAGTTTATTAGTTAATTCCACACAAGCACTAGACCCAGGGGGTCCAGCCTTCATAAAGTTGACACAAGTTTTCAGGGCTAGTAGCTTCATCAATGACAAACTTGACCTAATGAGAAAGAGAGAGAGAGAGAAGAGGTTTTAAAAACATATTAAAGGTCTGGATTACAATGCTTACTTGTTCAGCTACCGTCATGCGACAGGCTGGATCAGGGTCCCTGCCATCCAGTTTACCTTTTACTCTCCTCCAGACACTCACAGCATAGGAATTCTGCTCCTGAAGAGCTGCAAGAATAAAGAATAAATTTTACAAGAACTACCCTAAAGCAACACTGCTATGATAATTGACCAGCCCTGAAGCTTCACCCCCACTCATAACAATAATAATAATAATAGCAATGTATGGTACCTTTTCCTGTCCTTAGGTCTCTGACAATACCTTGACTGGAACGATAAACTAAAAACAGGGAAGAGGTTAAATGTAAACAAAGAGAAAACAGTGACTTACTTCTGCTTTGTTGCTCAGAGTCTTGTTGACCACTCTGACTGGCTACACTGAGACTGGAGGAACGATTCTTTAAACTTATTGCTAAAGAAGACATTAGACAGTAAAGGCATTATTCCTATTCTTGTGTATTATCTTACATGATGATTCCAGCTGAAGTGGTTCATGCCATTTTAGTTTGCTTGAGTACGGATTAATAAACAACTGCTCAGTGAATGAGAGGAGCTGTCCCAATATCCTAATTGAATGATTAATTTATTCATTGAATGCTTTATTAATTGAGATAATTATTACCATTCAGCTAATCCTCTAAGATTGACAGCCATTGTACCAAGCTGACGGAACTCTTCAGCACGAGCCTTGCTTGTCCAAGAAGGCTTGGAAGTAAGAGACATATCTGAAGCTAGAGAGGAGAAAAGAGAAGAGTAATGAGTGCTTATGGCTGGTAATTCTTACCAATAAGATCTTGTGTGGATTGTATGAAACTCTTTGTCTCTTCTCCGAATCTGTTCTGATGATTGATAAATGCCCTTGGTCCTGGTTGAAGCTGTCCAGCAGCAGGAGGGTCCTCCAACTATTGTACACATACACACAATCATATTCATGCTAAAGTCATTGTGTTAAATTGTACTCACTTTAGCTAGTGATGTCAGTTGCTGCCAAACCTCAACTAGCAACTTACGATGCTGTCGATTAAGAGAACGCAACTTCTCTAGCTCTGATAGAACATTCTCCTAAAAAAAATCATGAGAAATGAATTTAATGAAAGCTATTTATGTACTTTGTTCTTCACAACTTTGTTGTTTGAGAATTTCTTGTCTCCTTGTAGTTTAGTGCGTTCGGAAGTTGCTTCGTCCAATCTCTTTTGGATCCATTCCTTGTTGAGAGGACTCCCATCACTTGGCAACTAAAGAAGGAAAATTATTATAATCAATATACATGTATACATGTGCATGTACTACAGTATATACAGCATAATAGTTAACTATAAAACTAAAGGGCCGATTAACTTACTACATTAAAAAACAACAGTCACAAGTATAAATATATCGTAATTAAAATTCACAGTATTTCTCTAACCTGCAGATGAGGCATTATATCTGATAGCTGTGTCAGTTCCTCTCCACATAGTTTAAGTTTCACAGTCACGTCACTGCACCTTTGAAGTATCTGTATAGTCTCTCTATCAGATGAGGTCTGGGCTGGTATTCGTGTGTGCGACGACTCTAAGTGAATGATAGCTTTAGCCATTTCTTCCATTTCAATGAATATCGACTCCTCTCTCTCTAGCATTGTCTTGTGATGATTGCAGGCTCTCTGGAACTCATCAATGACTTTATTGAGCGATGAGTTGGCGCCAGCTGCCCACTGGAGACGCTGCGATATTCTAAACTGCTGACTGTGTATCTTCTCAATCACATTACCAATTGATGTGGCCAATTGCTCTGACAGGACCTAAATATAGTATTAAGAAAGGGGAAAAAGTGACACAGGAGATGTGTATTAAAGAGAGTCATACATGTACATGTACATGCCAAAATTTTTGCTATTTTATAGTTATTTTTACCTTTTTAATGACAGTCAGCAATGCTGATCTCTGCTGTACTACCCAAGTATGTACAGCATCAGGAACAATCAGTGACTCCTCATGCAACCACTATAGTCAGTAGTCATAAAATGAATAATGATTAATAGGGAGTACTCACTTGAAATCTCATTGTAATGTTTTTCAATCTTTGTATGCTTTGCTTGCAGTTTTCAAGATTAGTCGTGAGTCGCCTATAAAATTTGATATAATGTGATAAATTTCCAAGTGCTACTTGTAAAATGATTTTAAAAGAACATGTATACATATCAGAAAATGTAATAAAAATTCAGGATCTCTCCTAGTCATTTTTTTGAACCACCCTGTACTATAATACAGGTTTTTTTGGCCAGATTTTTGAACAACTTCAAAAATTCATTAAAAATTCAATTTTGATCGAAATCAGCTCAAAATAGTCCACGTGGGCATACCTTGCTTTATCCCATTCCCTCCATGCCACATCATGATGTGAGAACAATGTCCTTGCATGCTGCACCACACCTAATGGAAGCATTGACTGACAGTGCTCATTAGCCTAACAATGATATAATAATATGATAAATAATAATACAATAGTAGATAGAAAAATAATTGTGTGTAATGGATAGAGAGGGTAGCGTACCACTTTGCACATCTCTTCAATGGTAGTTGGTTTTCCAAACTGTATTGGAGCCTCAAGGTATTGAGTGACAGTACAGACAAGCAGACAAGTGAGGGCATAAGAGGGTTGGCCTAGTACGTGACATATGAGTGTCTCTGATATGTATCTTCTGATGGGGTGACTCAATTGCTGGTCGGTTGGTACAGGGACTGATGATGAGCTCCTCTTGCTGGGGGTGCCAGGAGGACTGACAAGACTCAAATACTCACCTGTCAACAGATTAAAATAAATGAAGAAGAGATTACAGTAATATAGTCTCTAGTTATATAGTACATGTATTGGAGACCATTCTCTTTCTCTCTCTCTCTCTCTCTCTCCACTCTTTATCGCTTCTTTTTTATTTATAAAAGACGACAAAATTGATACAAAGTGTGTAGATATTACTGACCTCCACCATCTGATGTCAGCTCCAGTTTGAATGCTTTCATGAGATTCTTACATTCGGAACAAAAGTCAACAATCGACGAGACTTTACGCACAAACAGTAAATCCTCTTTCAAGAACAATCCAGCAGTAGTACACTGTGAAATAAGTGAATATTAACAGAATTGACTTTATTACAAAGGAAGAAGGTAAGCGTTAGAAACAAAGGAATTGATAAATTTTATTAGATAGTGCATAGCATAGTAAGTAGGAATAACAATTATTGGTAAGAACAACTGTACATGTTATAATGTTGCTAATTATTGTTCAAACAATGTTGATAATGTAAATGTACATTACAGCTAGTATATTGTTCTATAAATACAAATTTAGGTGCATTCCCATGGACTTTCCCTTCTACAACTTTAGCAAAACAATGAATATCATTAATATGTTTACTAGATGTGGACCAATCACTGACTGCCACATCTTTATTAGCTGACGCCGCAATGATTTCGGTATAAAAAAGAGTGCTTAGACTAAGACTTGTTATAGCAACTATAAGCATTGAAAGAAAGAATAGAAAAACACTTCCAACATGAAGTTTATTGTTATTGGTGTTTTGATTCTTATTGTTCTCTTGAGTTTTGCAGAACCAATCGAAGGAAGAGGGAAGAAAAGAAAAAATGAAATATATATTGGGAATGATCCAGACAAAAATGGACACATTCATTCTGGTAGAGGTTTTGATGTTTTCAAAGATAAATCAGGAAGGCACAGAGATTTGCGACTTCCAGGACAAGTAGATTATCTACTAAACCACCCAGAGGAATATAAAGATTCCAAAGATAAAGGTGCTATTAAAAAAAAACTTCGAAAGATGAAAAAACGTCAAATGAAGAAATAATGAAGGCAAAAAATATAAGCCAGACAAACAAATACACGTAACTTTATTGTATTAAGCCAATATAATTATAGACTAGAGTGATGATGCTGAAGAACCTTACTTGCTTTAAAGTTAATAATTTTGTTTCTTAACATATTTTCCTTTTCATAATAATGATGATAAAGTAAATAAATCATAATAAAAATATTTAATGCTCCAAAAAATTAAATCAGTAAATCTAAAGTCCTCTTCACTCACCATAACTTCTTTAGTCTGTTTGACAAGGTCAGTGTTCCTCCATTCATCAGGTACAGTGATCTCCTCCACCTGATCCAACATGTTCAGTGTCTGACTCTCAACTGCTTCAAATAAACTATTCAACCCATTGAGGATAACCTGAGCCTGCGTCAGGGATGGAGTATCTGCTCAGAATAAAAATAATATTAATTATTTGATACTACTAATGTAAATAACACTATCTACAATACTAGTAAAATAGACAAACAGGTATAAACTGTATACAATAGTTCACACAATCATTATTGATTTTAATTGACCTACCATGTCCCTCTTCGCATTCAGATGAGAACATTATAGTTGATAGTTTGTTCTTAAGGTCCTCTACAGCAGCAGTGGTGGTAAGATCAGCAGGTACATTCTTTAATGCACACTGCCTTAGATGCTCTATGAGTTTCCTCAGTGCATCAGGTAATGGTAGCTCAGGGAACATTGTTAGTTTAATATCAGCAACATCATCCAACATCTGAACAAAACTAGGATCATCTGATATTATACTCTTTGATACTTCAGGCATCACAAGAGAATAGAACTTATTGACAAGATCCTGTATAAGAAAAAGGATTCGTGATACTTTCACTTCAATTTCTCTATCAGCTTAGGCTTACCAGCATAGAAGAGTAGACACTGTGGACAGCAGCAACTGAATCCAAACAAGACCTCACTAGTGTATCAGACTGAATATCATGACCAAGATACTTTTAAAATATAAGAGAAAAAACAATCAAATAATATCAGAGAGAAATCAATCAGCACAGGAAAGTGGTATACAAAAAGAATAATAAAAATATCAAAATATAACTAGTACAAGTTGCAATGTGCTTACACTGAGACAAGTTTCTAGTGTACTTGACATTTGGAACACATTTCCACCCATTGTACACAACTCATCCATAAACCAGTCACCTTCACGCGACGTGAGATCACTCAATCTATCACGAGCAGCTAAAAAATAAAAAATAATTATCCAGTGTACTGGGTTTATGATATCTTTAATAATTTACTTCTGGCAGTTTGTTCCATATATAACCATCTCCTACTAAGAGGACACAGTGCAATGACAATAAAGCAAGCTAAAGCATGTGGTCCACTATCAGGATTATCTATAATAATAATAATAATAATAATAAAATGAGGTTAATTCAATGATAATAAGCATAAATTATCAACTCAATGACTCCGTTAGGTTTCTACTTGCCTTGACAGAATTTTTGTAAGTTCTGATGAGCTTCTTTAACAGTTAGATCAAGCTCTTTCATGTCAATTGATGATAGTGCTTGGGCACGCTCTGTTAGCTAAATATATACAAAAAGTAACAGGAAAATAGAAAATAAATCAAATAAATTATATACAATAAACCATACAGGGTTTCCCACAAAACATGCTAAGTGAGCTAAACAGCATGAGCTTCATGAGCTGACAAGCACTACAATACAGTACATGACATTTGGAGCAACTTTAAAAATTCGTAAAAAATCCAATTTTGATCAGAATCAGTTCAAACTTTCTACACAACATAAGAACATGTATATGCATCAGAAAATGTAATAAAAATGGAGAATTCTCTCCTTTTCAATTTTGGCGAAATTTGACCCGTGGCCCTGTAGTACAGGGTCTTTGGTCCAATTTTTGAGCAACTTTAAAAATTCGTAAAAAATCCAATTTTGATCAGAATCAGTTTAAATTTTCTACACAACATAAGAACATGTATATGCATCAGAAAATGTAATAAAAACAAAGAATTCTCTCCTTTTCAATTTTGGCGAAATTTGACCTGTGACCCTGTACTATAGTACAGGGTCTTTGGTCCAATTTTTGAGCAACTTTAAAAATTTGTAAAAAATCCAATTTTGATCGGAATCAGTTTAAATTTTCTACACAACATAAGAACATGTATATGCATCAGAAAATGTAATAAAAACAAAGAATTCTCTCCTTTTCAATTTTGGCGAAATTTGACCCGTGACCCTTATAGTACAGGGTCTTTGGTCCAATTTTTGAGCAACTTTAAAAATTTGTAAAAAATCCAATTTTGATCGGAATCAGTTCAAACTTTCTACACAACATAAGAACATGTATATGTATCAGAAAATGTAATAAAAACAAAGAATTCTCTCCTTTTCAATTTTGGCGAAATTTGGCTCGTGACCCTGTACTATATAGTACAGGGTCTTTGGTCCAATTTTGGGCAACTTTAAAAATTCACAAAAAATTAATTTTGATCGAAATCAGTTTAAACTTTTTACAGACACACACAGCAACAAATTCATACCTTTTGGAATTTAGTTCCTTGTTCTTGAATTTGTTTCCTTAGTTTATTATCAGTTGCCATTATTAGTCGAGTGGGCGGTGAGGGACCCAAAAGACTCTCAAACGATTCAACAATGTTGATAAACCTATAGAGCAAAAAAAAAAAAATCAATAAAACACACTCCAAATATTGATTACAACCCTCTCGAATTATTAATACAAAGCATTAACATTGCATTTATGTGTACATAATAATAATAGCACATGGACTCACTGATCATGATGTATCTCTGTACTGGAGTTAACAATCTCATCCAGGCAGTGCTCCCAGAGGTAGCTCCTTGATTGCTCCAAGTATCTTGTGGGGAACTGAGAGGTGATGACTCTATACTGATTGAGTGCCTCCAGTGCCCCATGGATAACCGTCCTTCGTCTTTGCAATAAACTTACCAGTTCATCCTCTAATTGATCGCACTAGTTTTATATATAGCAAGATGAGGGAGATAGAAGGGGGGGGGGAATGAGAGAAAATTGGGTTAAAGAAGAGACACCAATACACAGGAAATATAAAGATAGGAAAGGTAATCAAATAGAGAAAGAGCTCTATAGTGACATTATAGTGGTACATGTATGTGCACTCACAGATTCAACAGTGTGTGCCTGTCCTGTCTTCTGTAAGAACTCAACTGCTGGTTCATGACCTGATGAGCCTGTGACATACA